CAGTATGGGAATCGATTAAAGGAACGGTTTGCCGCCTTCTTAAGGCGCAGGCTGAGCTGTGAGGTGCCTGTCGGTTCAAGGCCTTAGCTTTGCCCAGCAGGAGTTGAAAATGCTCTTAGTAGGCAAACAGTTCAGGACGAGCCCCGGGTTGACTTCTTGGAACGAGGAAAGTTGCTCGGCTGCGGCTGCGGCTGTTGTTGTGGTTGTGATTGGGAACGACCGTTCTTTCGGGGTCCCGGCTTGCTTGCGACAGGAAGAGAAGAAACAGGGAGCATTTGATCCTGCATCTGCCCCTGCCCAAAACCTTGCAACATGTCCTCATCAAAGATATCCTCTAGCCCACCGCTCATGAATCCAGAGTCAAGCAATGGCATGGGCATGGCAGGAAGGGTGGGGCTGGAGGCTGGCGGGCTGGATTGGATGTATGGGGTTGCGCGTGGGACAGGTGGCGAGGAGTTCAGGTCCCCAGCGCTATCCTCTGGCAGATAGCCATGGTCGGGGGACTGCGCATTCGAATCCGCGGGCGATCTGGCATCCTGACTCCCATTTTGCAGCATTGCCCTGTCGAGGCCCCCTTGGTCCATCTGATTCATGTGCTCAGCTCTCGCCTGGTTCTCCAATGCTCTCCTCCGGTGTTGCTGGTGCAACACCCGCCCGTCTGGAATAGGTGTGGGTGCGCGAGGGACATCCTGGAGGTGATTGGCAGCAGGCCCTTCTGCCACAGCACCAACAGGCCTCATATTACGGAGGGAGCCGGAGGTGCTAGCAGCCACCCTTAGGGAATCCGGGGTGGCGCCAAAGGGAGCAATTGCGCTGTACTCGGTTTTAGTGACCGTAGCCCTCTTCTTGTGCGGCCCATCGTCGCCATCCGTACCCTCCTCGACTGCCGACGTGTTTCCTGTCTCCAATGGCCTTTTCCTGGGCCGTCCCCGCGGCCTCCCAGTCGGTTGTTTGCTCCGCGATCTCGAAGGCTTGGAAGGACGGGGTTTTGACGCAGGCTCTACGAGTTGGGAAAGCGCCGGTGATGGCGCGTTTTCTGCGGAGCCCTGCGGCCTCGGGGGGATCGGTGCGGCGCTAGAAGGCCTGTTTGTTGGGAGGATCGCAACAGGCGGCATGCCGTTGAACGGGGAATTAGTAGCCGGCCGAATTAGTTGTGGCGGCTGGCTGTCGCTCCGTGGTCCCATCGGCTTGCTCTCCGCCATTAGGGGGTTGTGCTGGCTGAGTTGTGCTGGTGCGAGCGCAGGGGAGGAGACGGCGCTGGCACTAGCGTTGGAGGCATGCCCCAACATGCTGTTGGTTTGGATGAACGAGCTCCATTCCGACACGGCCTCGGCAGGAATTGACGCCGATCTCGTCCCATTTGCACCCTCTATACTGGGGTGGTCTATCCGTTGTGGGATTCTCGCCACAGTCGCAAACTTCAGTTTCACTTCCAGGGTATCCCGGCTTCCATTATGAAGAAGGGCAAGGAGATTTCTCGTGACACGTCCCGTGACCAATTGCTCTTGTTGTGAGTCACGCTGTGAGTCCAGATTCGATGACAGCAGACCCTGTCCCACGAGAGGCACATCCGGTTCGGAGTAGTCGTATGCATACACGCTGAAGTCGTTTTCTTGCTGGTTCAGGATCTCTGGGCTGCTCTGGGACACCGCCTGGAGACAGGTCCGCAAGTCTACCACGCCGATAGTGGTCTTTTCGTCGAGGGGTATGGTCTGAATGTGAAGGATATTAGGCCACCGCGCCAGGCAGTGCACCTGATTATCACGATCGAAGGAGTAATGGACCTTGACTGCGGGCAGGACCAGATTAGCGACATTAACGGGGATGGAGAGGAAACCTAAACGGAAGCAGACGCACGTCCCATAGGCCTCGCCTGCAGGCCCGATTCTTCCGCTGTACTCGCAGCTGCTGGCTGGGCAGCCGCAAAATGTGGTGAGGGCGCGGTCCACATGTTCGAAATGGTCGGTGGTGTCGCCATTTCTGCGTTTGGCGGTCCGATGGCCCACGCGTCGGCCGTGTCGTCGCTCTTTGAAGATGTTAACTATCTCGAACAATTACAACAATTAACTGCGCGGACGACGGAAAGAAAGTCGGGATGTTCAAATTATACAGCATCGAAGGGAGATTAGGTAGGGATTGAGGTTAAGTTGAGGTAGTTGAGGTAGGGGTGAGAGGCAGGAAAGAGGTGTATGTAGGGATGCAATTGAGAGGTTCTGCAGTCGAGTGGGCCGGTTTTGAGAGGCTGGGCTCATTCTCGCGGCGCGTTTGGAAGAGCGCGTCGGTGGGTCAACAGCTGCAGGCAATTGGGAATCCTTGGTTTTACCGAATCGGGCCAAAAAAGGGCACGGGCAGAAAGCAAGCCCAGGCAAGGGCAGAAATGGAAGGGAAGAAGGGAAGACTGAAGAAGAAATGAGAGTGAACTGAAAACCCGCACAGTTCAAGACGGCTATCAATTACTTACACAACGGACCTTATCCAACCCACTTCTTGAAGGTCATTGGATTCGACTCTAAAGATGATGCGCGCTGCACCTGTGCCGGCGTTCGTTGGCGTTGAAGCTCGGGGCTTGGCGTTGAAGGTCAGTCTTGGCGTTGAAGGTCAGTCTTGGCGTTGAAAGGTCAGTCTTGGCGTTGAAGCTCGGGTCTTGTCACCACCCAGGCACAGGTATAGAGAAGTGGGGCTGGCGCACCGCCCCACCACTTTTCTTGCCACGCGCCGAGACGCGAGCACGGACCACACCGGAGAAGCTTCAAGCTTGCGTTTTGCAGGCCCGAGTGCCACACAAACAGGTTGGACTTTGACGGTCCAACTGCTTGCCAAAAAGTTCCCGAAAGTCGAGGAGCTTGGGGCAAAGTTTTGCAGCGGATTTCGCGCGGGGAGGGCCCGGGACCCCTATTTATACCCCGCAGAATTACACCTCCGGACATGGCTTAGGCAACAGCCCGCCCCACTCTTCCCGGTCACGGATCGCTCTCAGCGTTCTTGACTTTTAGCGATGCAATTGCCCGCCGGCAGATGGTGTTGTTCTTTTTTTCCAAGGAGTTGAAAACACATGCATTGGTCCATCAACCCGCCTCTTTCTCAACCCCCTTGCAGCTCCCGCTCAATTAGGGAACAACAAAAACATGCCGACCGAGCAACCAGCGGCAACATTTCCATCAAATTAAATTTCTATCAGCATGACCACATTCAATAACTCGGAACAGATTTTTAAACAAACCGACCGATCGATTGATTTTTGGGGCTCATCTCGTTTTTACATAACTCAAATCATTTGCAGTTGCGGGCTGCGTGAAGGTGACTCGGATGCTCACCGACACTTGGAAGCAACAGGGGAATCATCTGGGACAAAGCAGAACCGAGTGTAGGAAAGACTTCAGACATTAAACAACTCCCGCCTATCTAGCAACTAATTAATCCAGCGCCCAAACAAATAACTATCCTCTAGAGGTATCTCAAACCGACGCCCACCACCATCACCATTACCCATCGCCCCATCCACTCGCCCACCCACCCATCACCACGCCTTCCCACCCAGCGTCTTCTCGCCCCTCACAAACTCCGCCGCAACATTCGTCCCCAAATACCTCCCCTTCAAAAACCACACCAACAGGCTCCACACCCTCCAATTGCCGACCTGCCCCGTCCCGCGATTCCTCCCCAGCGTAGCCGCGAAAGTAATCTTACCCACCGGCGTATACTCCTCCTCCTTTTCCACACCCCCACCCCGACCCCGACCCCCCAAAACCCGCGCCTCCAACAGCCTCACCACATGCACCGTCTGCGCATCGGCATGCACCCCCTGCGGGTCCTGCAGGTTTCCCGCGTCGCCCACCACAAAGATGTTGTCGTGCCCTTCGGCGCGCAGGCGAGTCGTCTGGCGCACGTAGCCGCGGGCGTCGAGCAGGGAGGTGGGGAGGAAGGAGGTGTTGGGGGTGAGGCCGTAGGTGGGGATGATGAGGTCTGCTTGGAGGGTGGTGGGGGGGGAAGGGGATTTGGGGGAGGGGGTGGTTTGGGTGAGGGTTATGGTTGTGTTGGGGGTGGGGGTGGCAGTGGTGGTGGTGGTGGTGGGGGAGGTGACTTTGGCGTTGGTGATGACTTTGACTTTGAGGCGTTCGAGTTCTTTCTTGGCGGTCTCGCGCACGTCGCGGCGGAATTTGGAAGTCAAGGGTAGGTCTTGGTCGCTGATGAGGGTGATCTGCTTCTTGCCCGTGACGGCGTATTCTTGGCCGAGCTCGCCCGCGATTTCAATGCCTGTGGCGCCGGCGCCGGCCACGACGATGGACTTGGCGGAGGCGATGCGCTGCGCCCAGCTGTGCAGGGCTTCTTTGGTCGCTTCGGTGGTCGAGAGATTCTTGAAGGGCATGCCGTTCTTGGAGCTGCTGCCGGTGGCGATGACTCTGTTGCCCCTGGTTGTTAGGACGACCCAGTGGCATTGACGTAGGTCAGGGGGCAAAGGGGTATATGTTGATCGCCACTTACAGCTCGTCATATTGGATCGTCCGAGCAGAGCCATCGTTCCCGCGCACTTCGACGGTGTTCCTGTCTGGATCCACTCTCTCGGCCACGCCTCTCACCAACTCGTACTGGTTTGATGGGTACTTGGCGAATGACGGGGCGATGGGGTAAAAAAGTTTATCGTCGCCCATCATATCAGGAAGTATGCCGCGAACCGAAGCGACATTCCAGTACATGTGTGTGTTGGGAGCAACCAGTATGACCTTAAGGTCTTTCGTCTTGGTCGCGGTGTGTTTGAGGAGGTAATGGGCGATGGGGATACCAGTGTAACTGGCCCCGAGGATTACGACTGTTCTTGTCATGGTGAATATTAACGGAAAGACTTGATGGAAGGTGATGTGAACTGGCACTTGGACACGGCCATGAGCATCGAGTCAAGGGCTGGTATATGTGTATATATATGTGTATATGATGGACCGAGGAGGACCCCAAGTTCCTAGGCAACTTTCCAGACTTTTCCGCGCGGGCAATTGCACCATCCCGGCATGACTGATGTTGAGTAGTAATCCATCTTTTTTCGTTCCGAATCAGAATATAATTAGTCAACTACCCAACCGCGAAATATGGCGGTTAAGAAAAGTCTCCGACCACTTCAGACTTTGTGCTGGGCGGGTTTCAAGGACAACGAGAGAGGTATTGCGACTCCCGCGCGCGGCTGTTCCCGCGCGGAGGCCGAATCGGGCAATGGCTTGGCGCTCAGGCGTGTAAGTGTCCCAAAAGGGAAGGCGAGCCGAGTCCTTTGACAAACGGAAGGGCGAAGCGGCCGTGGCTTGGCGTCCGAGGTCGCGCCCGGCTTGGCATTTGCATTCCGAGTCCCTCAAAGTACAGGTAACCGAGATGGCCGTTGGTGACTGCCTAGAAATTCGGCATTCAATCGATCAAATAACTAATAAATCCCCGGAAATTTCAGTCTTTGTAACTCTTTTGTTGGTTTTGGCGGTACTTTCGATTTTTGAGATGAAGACAAGGGCACCCAGCCCAACGATGAGACAGGCAACTTTGTTTACCCAAGTGCACTGTACAGAATAGGTACGAATAAACTACATCAATACAGTGCAGCCGTGAAAATGAAAGTTCAACTTTCAGCATTTGCTAATCATTGAAACCTGCCAGAGAGATCGATCATCCAGCGACAAATAGTTCCATCACAATAACGCCTTAAAAAAGGTACCTTGTGCACACCAACCCATCATAAAACGACCATTTCTCAGAGAACTCGAGGAGTGGTAACCTGCCCACTACTTGCTCTCTACGACCGGTCCGTACCCTTGCCCTTAACCGCAGTGCCACTGGTCTTGGTAGTGCTGCTTGCAGCGCTGGTGCCCTTCGTGGCGGCGCCGCCAGCACCGTTGCCCTTGGTGGCACCGCCAGTCCCAGCGCTGCTGGCCGCGGTCTTGGTAGCATTGCTAGTCCCAGCACTGGCACCCTTGGTAGCGTTGCCGCTCCCGGTGTTGGCACCGCCGGTCTTGGTGGCCCCAGTGCTAGTGTTGCTAGTCTTGGTAGCCCCAGTGCTAGTGCCACTGGCGTTGCTGTCCCCGGTGGCGGCGGGGGCAGCCTGGGCAGGGGTTCCCTCACTTGTGTTGGTGGCGCGGGCGATGGGGATGAAGCCGGTGCGGTTCTCCTTGTTTACCTTGACGGTGATGCGCTTGAAGTCGAACTTGTCCATGAGCTGGCCGTAGGTGGCGGCGTCGACGGTGGCGACCTGGACGTCACCAAGCTTGGTCGAGCTGAGGAAGTCGAAGAAGCCGCGCACCTGGGGCACGGCGGCCGGCTTCGCCCCCGGCGTCATGCGCTTGAGCTCGGCGGTGACGGGCGCGCTCGACTGGTCAAAGACGATGACGTACGACCGCTCCGTTTCGGCGCTCGCCGACCACTGCAGCCAGTGCGCCTGCATCAGGGCTTCCTTGCGCGTTTGCTCCTTGTCGAACTTGAGATCCTCCTGCGTCGGGGCCGCCGTGGAAGCCGCGGCGGGGGCCGACTGGCCGGAAGTCGAGGTCGAAGCCGGGGCCTGGCTCGTTTTGTTTGCAGCCGGGGTTGAGGTTGTCTTGCTCGTACCCGTAGTCGAAGTTGTTTTTGTAGTAGCCGGAGCTGGTGTCGTCTTTGTAGTAGCCGGAGCCGGAGTTGTTTTTGTTGCAGCCGGAGTCCCACTTGACTTTGATGCCGCCGGAGTCGAAGTGGTCTTTGTCGTCGCGGTAGAGGTCGACTTGGCCGGACCCGAAGTCTGTGCCGGGCGTGCTGCGGGTGTAGGTTGAGGAGGCATCGTAAGTGAGGTACCTAAGTAAGGAGTCTTAAAGGGAGAGGTAGACTGAACCAAATGGCGGTAGCGGAAGCTGATAGTTTGTAAATTGTGCTAAGTAGCGATAAACTAGGTAGGTAAGGTAGGTTGATGTTCCGAGCAAATTCCATTCGACTTTCTAGGTAGCCACGAATGAACTTATAGTCTTATAAAATCCAGTACCTGAGTAAGTTTATGCCAATTGGAAAAGATGCCTAAAGGCCGTGGCCCTGGAACTTTTGCGACTTGTGACCGGCCTGTTGCCTGTGAAGCCTAGTTCTCTCTGCCTGACCGAGACCTTACCATTCATACCGAGTAGTTTCACGTTTTAATCCGAAGTTGGGATGATGTGCTTTTTGACGCGGTGAAACTCTCTCTCCCCGCAAAAAGTTGTAATAAGCGCAATAAGCGCAATAAGTCCGAAGTCTTTCAGAGCATCACCAAGTCCGAACCACACTGCTTGGCATAAAAACGCTAGGCTGCCGCCATAGTTGAGTACAGTGGGGATCCAAAAGTATCCGGCCACCCCGCTTTCATTAAACGCGAAACGCGTCTCGCGGTTTCCTACCCTTAACTTTTGAACCACGACAATTCAACAAGATGAAGCTCAATTTGGCCGATTTTGCTGCTGAATTGACTGCCGGACGCGGGAGATTACAGGAGCTTTCTCCAGGCGCACGTGCAGCCATTTGCACACTTGTTGCGGCCGGGCAGAGCGAACGCGCCGTTTCTCGCCTCTTTCGCGTATCCCGCGATACCGTCGCCCGCTGTGTTGAGCACTGGAAAACTCACCGAACGTTTGATTCGCGACCCCGGAAGGGCCGGCCGCCGGTTCTAACTCGAAGGGAGAAACGGTATATCGTTTTACTTGTCAAAAAAAACCGAACCATTGCGAAAAAAGCGCTTGTTAACGCAACTGGCAAGGTTGTCTCCTATTCTACCATCCGCCGCTGCCTCCGGTCACACCACATCCGCAAATGGAGAGCTATGAAGAGGATTCCTTTGACCAAAGAAGTGGCAAAGGATAGGTACAATTTTGCATGCGATTGGCTTGAGAATATCGACGAGTTCCTTCAGGTTAGTGGTGTTGAACTTACCTCCTATTTCTTACCCCGCTAATCGTTTCAGACGATGTTCTCAGACGAGTGTTCCTGTCAGAATAACACTTCAAATCCGACTAGCTGGGTGTTCCGATTTCCGTCCGAGAAGTTCGATAAGCGTTTCGTCAACCTCCAGAACCATGTGAAAGCGAACATCTCGATCATGCTTTGGGGAATGGTCTGGAAAGGGGGGAGAAGTGACCTCATCGTGATGGAGCGCGACGAAGATGCCCCGAGGCGAGGATACACTGCGAGATCTTACCAGAAGGCGCTCCAAGAAGGTCTCCTACCTCATTACAACGATACCCGGCATTTCCAGCAAGATAACGCAAAGATTCACGTCTGCAAGGCAACGGAGGAGTGGCTCCAGACGCGGGGGATTTCGTGGATCGAATGGCCTGCACACAGTCCGGATCTGAATCCGATTGAGCACGTTTGGGCAGCTCTGAAGAAAAACCTACGAACGTTATTCCCAGAGCTATGGTGCCTGAAGCAGAACTGCGTAGATATAGCAAAGTTCAAAGAGTGCTTGCATACGGCGTGGGAGGCTATCCCACAGTCGTTCATCGACAAGCTGATCGAGGGAATGCCACGCCGGCTAGCCGCTGTTAAAAAAGCGAGGGGGTGGTATACAAAATATTAAAGTTTTTAAACAGGGCTCTTAACAACATCTATTGGTTATGCGTCATGATTTGGTGATGTTGAGATATTTGCTGTTAAAGCCTCCAAGATATAATGTAGGTGGCTGGGAAAAAGCGGGGTGGCCGGATACTTTTGGATCCCCACTGTACTTACCAGCCTTGGGTATCTCGGATGTTGTGTCGGGACGGCCCTTGGTACTTACTTGTTACGGCCTGGCCAGTGTTGAAGCGGCGGGCGGCGGGCGTGTCAGGTTCGTCAGGCTATCCTCAGACAACTTGGCCTTTTTCCATACGCCGCCGTTGAAGGGGTTTGTGCTTCGGACCTCTTCACCCAAGGTAACATGGGGTAGATACGTAGGGAGCTTGCCATCCTGGTCGCGACGTTTTTCAAACAGCCAACCACTTGATATGTCAGGGCCCGGGGTTCCAGTACCGTAACTAATCAAAGTTGGGCGTCTCGGAAACCATACTTGCGCCTCGCGGCTGACGGGACTTATGGCCCGGGGCCGACTGCGAGTGTGTATGTTCAGTTCCGACTACCGAGATGGCCGGGGTGATCTTGCTGGTTGGTGGTACGCACGCAGCACGGGGAGGTACCTACCTACCGACTAACCGAACCCACCGTCTGAATTCAGATAAACTTGTCCTACTATTATAAAGGGCGCCCTTCCGTCTTGTGGCTAGGTCTAATTCAAACACTCAACCCCCAGTACCAACAACCTACCCACAGAGAGAAACGGGACTTTCTCTCGACGCTCCTTTTGTTTGTTTTCCATCTACCTGGTACTATACATTCCTTTACAACTCTTTACACTCCTTTCCGAGGTACATTTCTTAATACCCACATTCCTTTCTTACTTATATCCAATACCCCTTTTTTTGAGTACCCCCCCTTCAACACCAGACAACAATGAGTAGAAACATTGCTCGTTCAGCGCCTCCCTCGGCTGGACCGAGGCCGCTCTTTGGTGTTGAGATTGAGATTTTCGTGCGGCTCCTCCCGCATGTCGAGAACGCCATCGACGAAGCGTCGCTCAGGGACCCGCGCAGCTTGCCCAGTTATTGGCGGGATTGGGACCCTACGCTTCCTAACAACTCGAGGGACCTCGGCGCCAAGCAGGACCAGCGGGAATGTGTTGGCGCCGCCATCAAGGCAATCATCGACGCTGCCCTAGGCCCAAGAAATGGTTGGAAGTGCGAATCCGACGCCAGTTTGAAGGAATATAAACTCACAGAGCCGCCTCACCTCCGCAAGTGGTGTATGTATCCCCCAGCGCCCCGTGCGGTAGTAATCATTGGGATCCAGACATGTTAACGGTAGAGTATAGGGGGTATCGAGATCATCTCGCCGCCCATGTCGTCTAACAAGCAATGGCAAACCGAGATCAAGACCATCTTCGACGTTGTTGGCGAGTCATTTGACTTCTGGACCAACGAAAACTGCGCCTGCCACGTCCACGTATCTCCCGGGCCGACAAAGAACAGCACCTATTCGCTCACCGACCTCAACCAGATGGCGAAGGGCGCCTTTTTCTGGGAGGACGCCCTCTGTGATCTCCTCCCGCCCGAGCGCCGTGTCAACCGGTACGCGGACCCGAACTACACGTACTTCTGTCACCAAGAGTATCTCGATGTCCCTCGCGATGGTTGGGCACCCATCTTTCACGAGCTCGATGCGGTAACAAGCCAGGGCCAGGATACCTTCCTTTACCATATGAGAGGCGGCGCCAACCAGACCCGGTACATCTCGACCAGCTTCGATCCCTTCACCAAGTACGGGACCGTCGAGCTTCGTCGCCAGGCTGGCGCGGCCTCGGCTCTGACCGTCATCCACCGTGTGCTCCTCGCCCTCACGCTGCACGTCAGCTCAATGAACTACAACTTTTCGGCAGCTGCGCGTCGTAGAGATTACCCACACGGCGACGAACTTATCAGGGAGCTCAGCAGATGCATCAAACTGCTCCCGGAGACATGCCTCGGCTCTCGCTTCCAAAATTGGCTGAGGTTCTGCCAGGAGAGCTACGAAGACGGCCAAGCCTTCCCCGAGAAGGGCATCAACAAACAAGAGCGCAACCTGCGCAACGGCGGCGACGTTCCCACCGCCGGACGAGGCGGCGGCGGCGGCGGCGGCGGCGGCACCGCCTCCCCCGCCCGCGGCCCCTCCCGGCAGAGCGCCGGGCGCCCTACCCGTCGCGACGCAGGTCCCCCCGGAGGCTGGCCGGGCGACTCCCCCACCTCAGCCCCGCGCCCGCTCGCCCGGCAGGGCACGCGCATGAGCCGCGACGATTCACCCCCGCGCCGCCCCCTCGCCCGCCGCACGCGGGACCCATCCCGCCCCCCCGCCGCCCGCGCCCAGTCCCGGGCCCCGGCCGCCCGCGCCTCCTCCCCGCCCCGCGCGCGCGTCCGGCATGTCCCCGCGCGCGACGAGTCCCCCCCACGCCGGCCCCTCGCCCGCACCCGCACCTCGCGCGTCCCGCCCGCCGAGTCGTCCGGTCGTCGTCCGCTGCGCGGCGCAGGGCCGAGGAGGGCTACGACGGCGACGAGGAGGTACGACTAAGGGAAGCGCATGCGGCCCCGCGCCGGGGGCACCGACCGCCCGGCACCAACAGCAGCAAAGGCAGCAGCAGCAGCAGGCGGACTGGAAGGACGGCAGCAACGGTGGGCAGGCCCCGCTTCCGACCGGATTCCAATGCGCCGGCGCAGACACAGGCCTCTTTTCTAAAGGCCGTGTCGACCGCGGGCGAGGCCAGGCCAGACACGGATGGGCGGAAGGGGGGGGAACACAAGCTGATAGCCATCAAGGGGTATCCGGTACATGTACATGTACTGTCAAGATAGCTCCTTGTTTTAGGTATGATTGGGGAGTTGGGCTATGCCCAAGTCTTTCTTGAATTCTATTAGCTTGTTCTCGGTTGGGCAATACATGGGATCGAAGCACAACTCGGTACTTGAAGTGCGCCGCTTGCAAAATGTTGATGAATCAGACTCTAGAGGGCCCGCTGCTCTAGAGTTGAAGTTGCCTTCCCTTCCAGTCTAAAGTTTGAACCCCCCAGGAACACGTCTTTGAAACAAGGCGAGCGGATCGTATTTGCTGCTCACTCGCTTGAGGAACTCAAACTCCTTGGCGCCGTAAGAAACGAGAGGTGTTTGATATGGTGCAGCATAGTTGAGATACTGGAACTTCCTCAGCAGTCCCTTTGCCCTGGCTCGGGATTCGATTCTGGAGATAGCCTGGCGGGAGGCTTCTTCAGCCGCCGTGTTGGCCGCAGGGTTCGGCCAGAGCGCCGAGATAAGTATGACTGTTGTGCGTTCGGTAAGCAAAGCTCATTATCTAGGGGCCAGTATTAGAAATGGCCGGAGACCTACCGTAACTATTTCCGTCTTCGGGTCGGGTACCGAGAACGTTGCCTCCGGTGTTGGCCGCGTAAGACGAGACAGCCGATGGGAGTGGTTCAAAGGCGATGGCCCACACGATGCCGCCCTGGGGGTTGACGGCGTACAAGGTGCTGTTGAGGATATCAAACACCTCGAGCATGAACTCGGTGGAGGGTTTCAAAGTCACCGTGGAAAAAAGCCAATTTCTAGCCGGTCATCAGATTTTGCTGCTGCAAAGTTTAAAATCAAAAGATTAATGAAAGCCCAACTCACAAGGGTGGTGTGGGAGCTTCGTCAGCAAAGGAAGCCAGCGATGTTATCCGCGAACTGTTTGAAACGCTGGGCACGGCGGCAATGCCATCAAACACCGGCGGGTGAGATACAGGACGGGTATACACGGCCGAGTTGCTGATGGCCCATGATTTTACAGTAGAGTTATAGCGAAACGCCGTGACGAGGGAGGCGTAGATATCAAAGCTCGGGGACGTTGCAATGTCGGTGAAGGCCTCGAAGACTGGACCTCTCTGGGAGACGTCATGGGCAAAGCTAGAGACGGAGATATTGCCCTGAGGAAATGTGCCAAGATCAAAACGCGTCACAACCCCAAAGTTGTTCGCGCCCCCTTTTAGTGCCCGGTAAAGATCGGTGTGGTGAGTTTTGTTCGCATTTGTGAGGGTGCCATCGGCTAAAACAACCTTTTCAAGGTTAGTACTGATCGAAGTGAAATGGAACTACCAGTGAGAGGAAACTCATACCTCAAAATTGTCGACATTATCACAAGCCCACCCGACACGGGTAGTGAAATGTGAGATTCCTCCTCCCAGGGTCAGCCCTCCCACACCAACCAGGCCATTGCGCCCACCAGCAACTGAAACATTAAAAGGATCAAGATATTGATAAACCTGAAGCCAAGCAGCTCCGGCTCCGACTCTGACAACCGAACGGTCATGGGTCAGGGCGGTGGTATTCAAGCCCGTCATGTCGATCGTGACGCCGCCGTCTATGTTTGCAAAGCCAGCCGCGGGAGCATGACCTTGGCCTTTGATTGCAAAATGGCAACCGTCATTCGCGGTAATGACTGAGACGGCCCGAGCTACATCTTGGGCCACCGAGGGTCGCAAGATGCAGCCTGGCTTCAGCCCAGACTCCTGCAGAGACCAGTACGTGTCTTGCGTGGCGTTATAAACAGTCTGGCCGGGAAAGCTGATTTTTATGCCGAGCTCCCGATGTAGTTGAGCACACTGTTCACAGTCAATTTTGGATTCTAATGGAGGCTTTGACTTGAATTATGAGAAAAAGGTCCAAGGAGTCACTTACACATTTGTCAACCCCTGCCGCATGGGCACTCAGCGCACAACCCAGGAGCATCCAGAGGGACTTCATGATGGACTGGTGTATACGAGGTTTATTGTATGTAGGTGCGGACATAGAAATGTCCAGGACTCAACTCAACAGCTGAAGCGGACTGAGCCCGCCATTTCAACGATATGCCCCTGCTATGAACTGTCAGCCGATTCGTCCTTCACAGGGATAAAATAACGCTACGGCCCTTACTCGGCCACGTTTGTTAGCACTGCTCCCTCTAAATCCTCCAAATCGGCCCGGTGTACAAACCCGAGTTTTCCCTACCTTATTACCGAACTAGACCGAACTAACTAGTAGATAAACGTCATCCAACAGTGTAACATGACATGCACCTCTTCATATCCCTCCTCAGAGCACATTGAATTCCCTATTCCTAAACCGGCCATGGCAGCAAGAAACCCGACAATCCCGCTCACCGCCCGGGAAGCCGGGCCCGAATCCCCAACCCCGGCCGCCGCCGTGACCCTGCCGCCGATATCCCGCAAGAAGCAAGCGGCGGTGGTCTCGTCCGCCTTCGGGGCCATCGCGCTGACCATCGGGTACAACCAATGTTTCGGCGTGTTCCAGGAGTATTACCTGTCGCCGGACCAGGATGTGTTGGTGCCCTCGCCCGCCAGCCAGGCCTCACCGCCAACGGCCTTACTCGCTTTCGTGGGCACCCTGTGCTACGGGCTCACCTGGGCCGGCGGCATCCTCGTAAACCCGGTCATCTCGCGCATTGAGCACGGTATTTGGGGCCCGGCCACGCCTGCTTCGCGGGTCTGGCGCCGGAGGATGCTGCGTCTGTTGACGACTAGGACTATCACCGTGTCGGGGGTGCTCATGATGTCGGTTGGCTTCGCGCTTGCGTCGGTTAGTAGCTCTATATGGCAACTGCTACTTACACAGGGCTTCCTGGTTGGCCTCGGGATGTCGCTTTTGTACTTTCCTCTCCTGGCTCCCGCGCCCGAGTATTTCACCAACCACCGCGCTACGGCCATGGGTATTGTAAGTTCTATTCCATTTCCATCAATACATTACCGTGCAACCCGACCTAGAACTATAGTTATCACCAAGCCCCCCCCCCCCCTACTAACACCTCCCCCAGATCCTCGCCGGCGGCGGTGCAGGCGGCCTGGTCCTCTCCCCCGCCTTCAGCACCCTGCTCAACTCCCTCGGCGGCCGCCGAACCCTCCAAATCTACGCCCTCTTCAACCTCGTCGCGGGGCTCCCCATCGCCTGGTCCGTCCCACGCAGCCGCTTCGCCAACATCGGCACCCCCACCCCCAACCCAGACCCAGATCCCACCACCAACACCAACACCAACTCCCAACCCATACATGTCGACACCTCCCGCCCCTCCACACACCTGCCCTTCCCCCTCTTCACCACCCCCACCCTGCTCCTCTCCGCCGCCGCGGCCTTCCTCCAAGCCGCCGGCGCGCAGCTCCCGCTCGCCTTCATCCCCTCGTACAGCGTCGTCCTGGGGCTGGGGGCGTCGCGCGGCGCCAGCCTGCTCGCGGCCAGCAGCGCGGTCAATGCCGTGGCGCGCGTGCTGACGGGGTATGTCGGGGACCGGTGGGGCCGGCAGAATATGCTGGTGGTGACGATGGCGGTGGCGGGGAGCAGTGTGTTGGGGTTGTGGTTGGGGAGCGCGGGTGGTGATGGTGGAGGGGAGGGGAGTGGGTTGGGGGTGGGGCTTTGGGTGGCGTTTGTGGTGCTGTATAGTTTTGCGGTTGGGGGGTATTATGCGCTGTTTCCGGCGTTGGTGGCGGATGTGTTTGGGATTCGGCAGTATGCGGCGGTGAATGCGTTTATTTTGATGGTGAGGGGGTTGGGGACCATGTTTGGGAGCCCTGTGGGCGGCCAGCTGCTTGGGGCGCCGGACGAGGGGGCGCGGGCGTATGTTAGCGTGGCGTATTGGGACGGGGCGCTGTTGATGGCTGCGACTGTGTGTTGTGCGGGGGTTCGCTGGGCGGATGCGAAGGGGAAGGGATGGCGGTGGATTGCTTGATGGCGGCGTGTGTGTGTGTGTGTGTGTGTGTGTGTGTGTGTGTGGCCGAGTGCTATGATGATATGGTCTCAACTCTGAATGTACTAGTATGATATGTGACAACACGACATGTTTTGGGGAAAAGCCACCCTGCTCCGCTGGAACAATTTATGCAAGGTAGGTAGTCGGAGACTAGGGCTCGGGTCACTTTGATGCGGCTGGGGTTGGTGGTTATGAGGCGGTGGTTAGGTAGTTGAGGATGACAGGCTGTACTGTTAAAAGCCTTGGGAGGTCTCGAGATTCGCATCACTCAACGTGATTACCTACTTACATGTACCCTTGACCTTCCTATCGGATGAAATGCCGCAAAGGATCATAATAAACACGTCTTCTACAATAAAGGGTGCGATCTCGCACACATAGGATGCTGTAATTACTAGTGAAAACTTGGAATAATAGTTAGAAAGGGCCGAAGTAGAGGATGAATATATACATGTATAAATTAGTCCGATCTAGTATTATCATATCGTCATGGGCCTAGGTCGAGTGTGATGCAAGGAGTGTACGAATAAACAACATGTTTTGAGTAAATATCAGAGGTATCAACACTAACGCCTGGTACAAAGTACAGTCAGTTGGCCCTCATGGTTCCGCGTGATGCCGCCGGAAATAGGCGGTACACCACGGAAGCCAACTGTAAATAGATCCGCCTTGTCTCTTTGATCGACCTTTGCCGGAGAGAACCCACCAGGGCTGAACTGGATAGAGCCAAGAACAACGTCTCGGGTTATTGGCTTCTAGCGAGCTGACGATGAGCGCGATGTTTCAGTTGTTCCCCGCGTGGCAGGGCCTAGAACAACTTGGCAGGAGATGAGACCCCACTCTTCAACATGGAAGATGCCCCTCGCATGCTGGCTTGCGATGGGCGCGAGAAGAAAGTCTCATCTACCTACAGAGACGCAAGCTCGGGTTGGGGTTAAACGAGCTCTTGGAGGCCGGCCGTTGGCAATGGTATGCCGGCAACCCTTCCACAACTGCTTCCTGTTTCCCAAGAAAGGAACTCACAAGGACTTTCATGTTCCACGCTTCCGACTGAACAAGCCAAAAAACCTCTTCTCCTTGACCTCAACTGTGTACGGCTTCAGCGGGAACGTGGGGCGCACGTTATACTCGTCACCGTCTGGGTCAGTTGCCCCATATTGCATGACCGACTGCCACTTCCTCTGCGGGATCTCCCCTAGCTTGGTGCTGTCAGAGGCGAACGACAGTATCGATATCCTGTTTGGCACAGCCAACTGTGACATCCCAGGACTCGCAGGGCGTCGGATTGTTGTTTGGGGCAGCTTGGCTTCATGTTTGTGTTTTGTATCGTCAAGTTCGTGTTTTGTATCGTCATGTTCGTGTTTTGTATCTGGTGATTTTGGTGGAGGCGGCGTGACTGGTTGTGGCCGCTTGCGTAACTTTTCTGTACCTTGCTTTCGATCTTTGCTCGTTTCCCGGCCGTCTTTGGCAGCGGGAGCCGGCGTTTCCTTTGCGTGTTTTGGCCGGGGCTTCTTTGTTGGCCGTGAACTAACAGACCGTGGCCTGGATGCCGACCTATGATGGTGCCGGGATGAAGACGTTTTGGATGATGATTTAGTTTTGGATGACGACGCTAACGAGGATCGAGAGGGACCCGAGAGCCGACGTGAGAGGCTGTCAATTGCCTTGATCGCCTCGGCTCTCGATCCATTCGATAGAGTCATGAGTGACTGGTAGTCCAAGTCGAGCCCATCTTTCTTGTCAGAGAGGCGGAGGAGACTGGTGATTGCGCCCTTTAGTTTCTTCAAGACCCGATCCAGAGCTGAAACTGCGCGAGCTGACTTGGCGTTAGCGCGTGAACAGTGACATTTAGTGAGGCGCACTCACCGTCGCCTTTCCTGAAACGGTCCCCAGAGGCAGACAACTTAGAAGAGTACGCCCGTTTGATTGAGGAACGGTCGGACTTTAGGGACTTGCGGAGATGGGAACGTTGCTTTTCAGAGTTGACCGACCCATCCTCTTCACGACCACGCCCAAAGGCTTTGAGTAGCGAGATGCAGTTCGCATATGTGTCGAGCAACGACTTGATGCTGTCACCGAATGTCATTGTTTTCCTCTAGTTGTAAGAGAAAACAGCCCGGTTTTGTTCGATGGTAAGTCGAGTGGCGGCCTGATATACCGTGATACCCGCCTTAGGTACCTAGTTTGACCGCCTGCAAGACCTGACGCGGGGTTAGGTAAGCTCATAAGGCAAGGTGCCTCTGGTTACAGCCGCCATACTCCGAGTCCCACTGAGTCCCCCTCCATGAGGTCTTGCAAGCAGCACTTAACCGCCCGCCCCGCTGTGTGCTGCATCTCTGGCGCGACATCGGTGGCCAATCGTGCAGCAGGTTCCGGCCGTTTATGCCGTTGTCGGGTGTTCGTGGTTGGTGTCTTGGTTCTTGGCTGGCACGGCTCAAGGCACGGCTGGCTTGGTGAGTGCCTGAGCTCGCTTAAGCAGCTCTGTGGGTCCACAGGTGGCAGCCACGCACCCGGCGCCCACGGCAGCCCACAGACAGCTGTGGGGTCCCAAGGTTCTGGCCCATCTCTGAGGCAGCCAGGTTTCGGTGGCGAGCAAACAACTCTGAATACCTGCCTGAAGAACTTGAACCAGGACTCCCACCAAACAAATCCTGGAACACTCTTCATATCAGAACTTCGCACTCCAATGGACCTCGACGTTGCACGTCCGAGATAATAAACATGCGACTACCAACACAGATATCAGCCACGCTACCCGTCGCCCTCGCCCTTATCTTCGCCGCACCGACCGTTAACAGCGCTGGGATCCAACCATCTTTCTACGAACGCGAGGCCCGCACCGAACCCGCCGGCCATGTCTTCCCGTTCCTGAGATGGCTACGCGATAGCGCTGTGGAGGTCGTCTTCGGCAAACCATCGACGAGGACAAAGGTCCCGGCGCCTGGTGCGCAGCTGCAATCTAGGTATTCGAATGATGTCGTGGTGCGCTTCAATGTCACCAATTCTGAGGAGGAGGGCGCGCTCGCGCAGGCGATCGATCAGATGTTTCTCGACGTTTGGGCCTTTACGCCAGAATATGTCGATGTCAGGTTAGACAAGGGCGACGTGTTGGGACTCCTTGGTTTGCTGCCCAAGTCGTTGGAACCGTCGATACTGGTCCAGGATGTCGCCGCGGCAGTGTGGGCGACCTACCCCTCAGCGTCGGCCAAGAAACCCCGGATCGAGTCAAGCATGGTTAATGCTGCGAAACTGAAGACGTCGCTGGACGGAGTGGGGAATATCTTTTTCCAGAACTACCAGACTTTGGCTGTGAGATGAGCCGTCCCCGACTTTCCGAGGCCATTGATGCTGACCCATCTAGGTGATCACGAGTTGGATGCGCTTATTAGAGGCCATGTTTCCGTCCATCGCGAGCATGACTAGCATTGGCAAGTCGTACGAAGGTAGGGACGTTTATGCCTTACGAGTCGGGGCTCGTAGCAGCGACAACGAAGACAAGGGGCCGAGGAAGACCATTCTCATTACCGGAGGTCTCCATGGTCGCGAATGGATCTCGACGAGCTCCGTGAGCTATCTTTTGTGGTCGGTTATCACGTCATACAACAACGAGCCGATGATCACCAAACTTCTTGAACACTTCGACATCGTGTTCATCCCGGTTCTCAACCCAGACGGCTACGAATACACTTGGCAGACGGACCGTCTCTGGCGCAAGTCAAGGCAAGTGACCAAGATGCGCTTCTGCCGCGGACTCGATCTCGACCATGCTTTCGGCCACGGGTGGGACGCCTCCCAACACCAAACCGACCCTTGCTCAGAGAGCTACGGCGGGGACCAGCCTTTCCAAGCCGTTGAGGCGTCTGAGCTGGCGAAATGGGCCCGAAACGAGACGGAACACGGGGCCAAATTTGTCGCCTTTCTTGACCTACACTCCTACTCACAACAGGTGCTCTTCCCGTACGCGTATACCTGCTCCATCGACCCACCCAACCGCGAGAACCTTGAGGAGCTTGCTGTGGGGCTGGCCAAGGCGATTCGGCTTTCGAGCGGAGAGCCGTACACCGTCACCTCGGCGTGCGAGGGGGCCGTTGCTCGGACATATAGTGCGAGCAACTCGCTTCCGCGTATCGAGGCGGGTGGCGGCGCAGCCATCGACTGGTTCTATCGTGAGTCCCCTGTGCCGCAATCATCCTAAAAGCGTCGAGACCTGACATCCAAATCTAGACGAACTCCAAGCACGGTATAGCTACCAAATCAAGCTACGAGACACCGGGAGCTATGGTTTCTTAGTACCCACTGACAACATTGTCCCTACCGGTGAGGAGATGTTGAACGCTTTGAAGTACCTCGGCGATTATCTCCTCGGGAACAACGGAATAGAGATGTCTTTCCCACAGGAAACATCGGATCGGTGGGGAGATCTTAGAAAACGGAGACGGTGAAGATGACAAAACTGGGGGAAGGATGTCGCAACCAGCGTTTAAATGGAGCATGAGACTACTGTAATGGGGTTTATGGTTTGGATGGGAACATCCGGGTTGGATGGATATTTGATACGAATAGGCGCAAGGCGTTGTTGGTTTGGGGCCGCACGGCCGATAAGGCGTACGAATAATGATTGATGCACATTCGAGGGTCCTCATGGGGCCATTTTCTCCACCTTTCGTCATGTTCTAATGTACATCTCAGCATTGGATTAAATTTGACAATAGCAAGCTTATTTGTGCAGATTGCATGCTATTCTCGCGTTCTTCCATCTCTCGAGCAATTTATCTCTAGCAAACACCATCTCATTATTCGTAACCCCGGGACATTTTTTCAGTTATTGACGAAGTCCCACTCGTTCTCGTGCGAATCGGACGGTTGGTGCATGGTCGCAAGGGGCAAATGCGAAATGCAGCCAGGTGGAACCCTGTTCACTGCTCTGGGGCCCCTTGAACCCTAAGGGGATTAGCGTAGATAAGTGGGGTCGCCCAGTCGCTCGGCTTGGAAGGAGCTGACCATGCTGACCTAGCCTGGCCCACCGCAGCCCACCTCCTTGGTTTAGCATTTGGCAGCGAACTGTTCGTGGAAGCAAGTTGGACAACCCCCTTGTTGCGAAGATTCGTCTTCCCAGAACCGTCATTCGACAAGCCCGGAATCAAATCCGACGACCTGCCATTCCATCCGACCTGCCTGCAGCCATCAGTGCACAACATAGCGCGCTCTATCAATTCACTCGTTCATACCAGCTGTGCAAACCCTTTCTGTGTTCCACTGCCCGATTGCCGATTGCTCAGAGGACCTGATTTCGCCTTATTTCCGAGTTACAACCCTGATCGAGACCGCCCCGCCGATTCTCCGTCTCGTCGCCTCGATGGACTATGACGATTGCGCCGAACTCTAATCATGCCGTTCCTGCGACGCCGCGGCAACATGGCCAGTGAGAGCGATATGCGGCGTCATTCACTGCTCGATACTCTCTCTGCGCCCGCCCCAAAGCAGCCGCCGACATTCAACTCCGGGTCCACCGCCGACCTGCCCGCTCTAACAACGGTAGCAGAAGATTCGACATCCCCAAACATTCCCAATTCCTCGGCCGACCTTCCCCGAGATAGCATATCCGTGGCGTCTACCCATGGCGTCCCTTCCATAGTCGAACCCGTCGATGGGCCCGCGTCGGTCGCTGGCTCCGACCACTCTCACAAACGCCGACGCTTTTCGATGCTGAGGTTTCGTAACGCGTCAGACTCTCAGCTGGCTGCGAAGGCGAAACTCCATGCCGCGGCGCAGAAACCCCCACCAGTACCGCGCCGTACGTGTCACTCTTTCGCATTACGCGCTGTGCCCCCCGAAACGCACAGAGACCGAGCTTCGAGGTATTGGTACTAACACAAATTTCTAGCTCCGGAAATCATCACGACAGCCCCGACTTTCAATACTGTCGGGCCTCGAAAGAAGACGTCTCGGATGAATTTTGGGCGACTACGTCGATCTGGCGAACTTTCTCGGACGGATGAGGCGAACGAGGCGAACGAGGCGAACGGCAGGCCCGTCGGCCACGAGCGGATATCTAGGGTCCCTGAACATAGTGTGTCGTTTGACGAACCGAATCGCCCGTCGTTCTCGCACGCCCACGGGCCGCCACCATATGGAGATGAGCGCTCGTCGGCATTGGCACTGCCTCCCAACAGGCTGTCCGAGTCTTCGAGGTCGGATGCCAGTTCGGGGGACAGGGTCTATGGCACTACCACGACGACTACCCACACAGTTCACACCACAACCACCTTTTTTAGACTTCCGCGCAGGAAACCCAAGCAGCCGACGCCCTTGTTTCCTATCGCACACCTCCAACCAAAGAGCAAGCCATCCTTCGCAGAGGACTCAAATCTCTCTAACTCGTCTTTCGCCGCATCGGACCGGTCTGGCGCCAATGCCTCACGGGGCAGCCAATTCACTCCGACGCAGTCAAGGGCGCCGTCGAGGAACGGGGTGACGACACCACCTCCCACGAATCCAGGGGCCGCAATGTTGGGAAGGCCGGCCGCATCCCCGGCTACGGCCCTCTTCCGGCCCAGCTCCCGGCAATCTGGGCAATCTTCACCAACCCGGAGCTATATACATCGAAGGGGTAGGTCCTCGACCATGAGCTCGTTGGGAAGGAATTCCCCACGGGATTCAGTAGAGGATCACTTAGCTCCTCCGACCACAAGGACCTCGATATCGACGGGCCGAAAGAGCTTCAGCGATCTTCTTGGTCTCGGCCGGCTACGCCAGGGCTCGGACATGGCGGCATCTCGGCAAGGCACATTGACCCCTATGACGCCAGGCTCTAGCACATCCAAAAACAACTCTCTGCAACTTCCTCGCGGGTCCGTTAATCTTCCGGAGCGCCGAGAGGATGACACGCCGGCGAAATACCTTGAACGTCTCCTCGATGTTGTTAGCAGGAGCGTAGTGGCAGCTGCCCTCTCGAAGAACAACGACCCATTTTCGCAGTCCGTATTGCGGAGTTATATGCGGGGCTTCTTGTTCTTTGGTGACCCAATGGACATGGCGCTGAGAAAGCTTCTGATGGAAGCAGAGTTGCCAAAGGAGACGCAACAGATCGACCGTTTCGTACAGGCGTTTGCGAACCGGTACCACGAATGCAACCCCGGGATCTACTCATCGCCAGATCAAGCTTACTTCATCGCTTTCTCTCTCCTCATCCTCCACACCGATGTGTTCAACAAAAACAACAAGCACAAGATGCAGAAGGCCGATTACCTGAAGAACACGCACGGGGAGGGCATCTTCGATGACATCCTGGAGGTTTTTTACGACAACATCACTTACACCCCATTCATCCACGTTGAGGATGATTTGGATATCAACGGCGAACGGATAATTGCGCAGAAAGCGCGCAAGAAGTCCATATTTCCACACGCCGTTCCGGATCCCGCCAAAAGAGTGGCGAAGGAGCCGGTTGATCCCTACACGCTTATCATCGATCATAAGTTGGACTTGCTCCGGCCCAATCTGAAGGACGTGATGCAATTGGATGACCCATACGGCTACCTGGGGACTGTCAAGGCCCTTAACATGAAGGAACTCCAGAGAACTTTTTTCAAGACCGGTGTGTTGCAGATAGTTTCGGCAAGGTCACGTCCTGACGCTTTCATGACGGAAAAGACGGTTACGAACCCGGAGCAAGCCCACCCTGGCATCGTGGACATCAAGATCACCAAGGTCGGCTTGCTGTGGCGGAAGGATGCTAAGAAGAAGAAGACAAGATCACCATGGCAAGAGTGGGGTGCCATCCTTACCGGTGCTCACCTCTACTTCTTCCGCAACACCACGTGGATTAAGCAGTTGATGCACCAACAGAGAGATCACCTTAAGAAGGGCCACGATAGCGACCCGTGCATCTTCAAGCCGCCCCTGGATCAGTTCAAGCCCGATGTTCTAATCTCGACAGACGGCGCGGTGGCCTTGCTGGATTCTAGTTACAACAAGCACAAGCACGCATTCGTGTATGTCAGGCATGGCGGGCTTGAGGAGGTTCTCCTAGCCGAGGACGAGGACGAGATGAACGACTGGCTCGCCAAGCTCAACTACGCCGCCGCATTCAGGACGTCTGGCGTTCGGATGCGAGGCGTCATAGGAGGCAACTACGACGGGCAAAGCCGGCGCGCAATCAGGGGATCCGGGAGTGGCGACGTTCAGGTCATCCAGACTCCCTCGGGCGAAGTGACGGTGACCCGCAGTCGGATCGACCACCAGATGGCTCAGGATATTCTGGCCGCCCGGCGAGATTTCATGCGCCAGAAGATCATCGATGCCGACGAGAAGCTGAAGGAAGTCGAGGCAGTTCTCGAGTCTCAGCTTCGCAACTCGCGGCATCTTCAAATACTCGCCCCGATATCGCCCAAGACACGAGACCAGATGTTGCTTTCAGCGGCACGCATGGCGGCACAACTCAAATGGACGCGCATGGAGATCTGGAAGTTGAAATGCCATCGCGATGTTTTGCAGCTTGATATGGAGGAAGAACGTCAACTTCTCGGTCTTCCGCCAGACACGAAAATGGATGGCCCGGCTAAGACTCTCACCCGGGAAGAGTCCAAGCTCAGCCAGCTCTCTGCTTCTCAAAAGAGCCTACGATCCCCAGAACAACTGTCCTTGACAAGGTCATCCTCCGTCGCTGCGAGGTCAGAAGATGGCTCTTCCCCGGTGACCGAGGTCTTTCAAACACCACCTACTAGTGCGAGCGTCAGCCAAGAAGATTCATGGGTTTCACCAGGCGCCGCATCCGATCACCGTGGCCCGAGGAAGACATCGGTCTCGACCGCGATTGGATCGGATGCGTCCATCCCCGGGACGCCGTCAAACAACGAGGCTGGGCCATCCACCTCCCCGAAGAAGCGCGATTTCGAAGAGTCGGATGACGTGGATGCTGGCGAGCGGGGCCTGTTGGAACAAGCCGGGCTTCTCGAGCCCGAAACATCACGTTCATCGGACCACCGGAGCACCAACGAGAACGTGGACGGGGAGGAGACCCCCGAGCGTCGTGAGCGCCCCTCCAGCGGCACTCCCGCCGACCGAAGCGAGAGGAGCAAGATTCGCCGCAGTCTACAACGCACGCTCCGGGAAAGCGCTGGCCACATCTCGCATCACCGGCATCGCAGGGCCAAGGACTCAACCTCGAATGCCACGTTGTCTGACGACGCGAACCGGGATGCCCCCGATGTCCTACCTCGGGGGACCGGATCATTTGTGGTGCACGGGAAGAAGGCTTCGGTGATCACTTTTGGCAACGAGCTTCAGATGCAGAGCCTCGCGGCCGAGGAACGTATCCGCCAGCGGCTGCACCGGGACGATTCATCCAGCAGCCGCACTGGTGTAACAGAAGGCACTGATTTCCAGTCCATCTTGTCTGCGCGGTCCATGAGGGATCGCGAGCATCGCGGGTCCGCCGCCAGTGCAAGCACCGCCACGGCAAAGAGTTTCAGGGAGCTGCATAGGAAATACTCTTCCGCCGCCAGGGGCATGAATGGTAACCTTGCGTTGCCGTCTGATGAGGACAGCGACGCGGCGGTCAGTTTCTCTGATGGGCACCGCACGCCTCTCCCGCCTATTGACGGCGAGGAGGAGCAAGAACGGGAGCTGGGGAACAATGCCAACGGAGACACGGACGGTGTCGAGTATTTCGAGCTCAGCCCGCCGCCCAGTCGCGAGGGCCGCAACACGGTGTTCTTTACTCCCGAGCCACCGTCGTCGCCGGCCATCGAGGCGTCAAAGGGGAAAGAAGTGGAGGTGGAGCACAACGACATCGCCGAAGGCAGCGATCGGCTCCCGAGCCCGCCATTGCAGGCCGTTGGTGCCTAAGAGGGAATCCGCATGTCGCGAACCGCAACCCACCTACCTACCATATGACAACTCACCCACACGATTTCATTCCTTTCGATTCGGTTTACGACATACAGGTCTCTCCTCTTTTTTTCCCACATATCATTGTATTAATGTACCGTGACGCGAACACGTTTGCGCGTCTCCAGGGCAAAGGCAAGAGAAGAGAAAATATGGTGAATGAGTGAAGGCGGCTCGACGCGGAAACCAAGGCTTTTTTTTCGTTCCCTTTCTTCCTCCTCGTTTATAGATTTCGACTACGCCCTCTTAGGGCCTAGGCTATCTGGCTCTTCCAGAAGACACAACATACACTCCCTTTTTCTTGCTTTCTCTTTCTACTTTTTTTTTTCTTTTTGTTCACCGGGTTAGCAGGTTACGGGCAATAGCTTGGGCATTGAGACGTGGGATGTTCTGTCTGTCTCCCCCACGCACGACTATCACTCCTTTTAATATGTGTCACTCTCTTCTCTTCGTCTTCGCTTTTTTTTTTCTCTCCTTCATTGGTGGGTGGGTGGGTTATATGATGGGGATGGGCTGGCCGGGGTGGCATACTCGAGGATCGGCTGCTGATCAGTGGTTGTCGGAAAAGGCCAGTCGTGTTGTGGGATCATTCGCTGTTATCACATTGGGGCGGGCGGTGGCAGTTGGCAGTTGGGGGGTTAAAGGGGCCAACCGTTAAAAAACTGTGTGGGTTTCCCATCACTGGGACGTCGATATGTCTGTCAGTCGGTGTGCGACGAGCGTTGGTGTTTTTGTTTTCACTTCCCGCTGGCTACCCGCAAGTCCGTTTACTTTGTTGGTTGGCTGGCTGGTTCGGTTGCTTGGGTGATGGACAAGGCTGGCTGGCTGGGCAGATGGAGATGCGGCGCACGCAAGGACGGGGTGGGGGGGGATACATGGTTTTTGCCTCTTGGTAGGAAATTACGGTATCGTACTATTGAGCAGTCTTTATGCAATTCAAAAGCCGTGTCGTGGCACCTTTGTGGCCCTTTGCAGAAGCGTTTGCTTGTGTGTCATTGTGGGAGGACCCCCAAAAGCGTGGGCCTTTAGAAGACGGGGTAACATTGTCTTATTCTTTCAACTGGCAAGGGAAGTGAGCGAAGCGCCCATTTCATTTCTTGCCCTTCTTCTTCTTCTTCCCTCCTCCGCCGCCGCCGGACGCAGGTGCCTTTTCCACCCTCACGGAGCCCGCACCGCCAGCCAGCTCGAGGGTCTCCTCCTCGCGCACCACACCACCCTGCGTGGAGTCGGCCACCCGCTTCTTGCCCTTCTTGCCCTTGGGCCGGTAACTGCTGCGGTCCCGCAAGGGCAACCACCGCTCCGGGTCGGGCTGCTTGCTGGGGTCGTACGACTTGGGCAGCTTCCTCTTCCTGCGCTTTCTCGCTGGCTGCCCTTGCTGCTTCCCCTTGCCGGTTTCGTCTTCCTCGCGGGCCCGCTTTTTGCCTTGCGCGTGGGTGGCTGCCGGAGCGGTGGCGACGCCTGCCTCGAGCAGGGCGGCAGCGTCCACGCCGCGGGTGAGGTCCTCGACTGGGGGGAGGGCGTCAAGGTAGGGTTGCACTTTGGAGAAATCGGATGTTGCGAGACTGGCGACGAGACCGGCCTTAGCGATGCGGTCGCCAGGTTGAGCGTCGAGGAGGTGGGCGAAGGCTTCGCCTGCCGAGGCGAGGTCGGCGGGGTGGGACGAGCGGAGAAGCTCAATACCTGCTTCGCGTAAAAGAGAAGTGCCTGCTCCATTGGCGGCGGACCCCGTTTTCTTTTGCCAGTGTGCCGCAGCTTTGGCGAGCTCGTTGCGAATGGCCGAATGACGGCCTTGAGTGCGGTAGAGCGACACGGCTAGGGCAATCAAGCCAGGCGCAAAACGCACATCAGCGTGGTCGGGGGTTGTGGCAGCTTCCAGGCGCTTGAGGAAAGTCTCGAGGAGGTTGATGGCAGGTCCGGGGTTTTGGAGTTGGATGTAGAGTTGGATGACGGTGAGTAGGAGGCCGACGTCGTCAGGCCTGGTCTCAAGCAGTGGAAGAACATGGCGGAGGGCTTCTTGACCAGTCTGAAGCTGGGAAGCGGCTGCAGCGCCGAGAATCCCAAGGTCACACTTGGAGCTGGAAATAGCCGGGACCGCTTCCTTGGACAGGATCTTGAAAGTGGACTTCCCAACGCCAGGAAACTTCTGAACCTGAAGACTCAGGACATATCTGTTGCGGCGAAGAACAGAGCTCTGGTACTCAAATAACCTGTCGTTCCCTTTACCTTCCGGTAGAGACTCGCTAAGCCGCTGTGCCATGTAGGGGTTGCTTTCGGCCTGAAGGACGAGAGCATTTGTTCGAGCCACCACCGTGGCCGAAGAATCCGGGGTTTCATCGAGGTTGAGCGAGTTTTGGAGGGCCACGGCCTCGGCCAGTTTCCCGAGTTTTGTGAAGACGTAGGCCTGCTGCACGACGATGGGTACCAGCTCAGCCTTCTTCTCCTCCTCGGTTAGCTCGTCTGTTGCCTCGCACAGATCTCTTGAACGCTTGAGGAGGGCAACAGCCTTAGCAAAGTCCCCGCGGGAAATACATCCGCAAGCCGCATTGTATGCTGTCTCGAACGCCTCCAGATCCTCCCTTCCGGGCTGCTTTTCCTGCTCCGGCACCGCCCAGCTCTTACCCTGCCACTCGAGCTGCGCATTCGTCGCCGACAGGTTGATCCGCAGGTCGTTCTCCTCGCCATGGCCCGCCCCGCCCTGACCTGCCCCGAGCTCCCGGTATATGGTGGCGGCCTGGTCAAACTTCTCGGCGCGGTAAGCCACCTGGGCAGCAATGTGCTTCAAACCCCTCTGCGCCCTCCCGGTGCTGACGCCCGCATCCTGTAGCACAGCCTCGGCGGCATCCAAATCGCCCGTCTTGTAGAGTGCATAGGCCTTCTCGAACGCGCAGGTCGCAGCTAGGGTATCGCCACCCTCGGAAATAACACGCAGGGCATCGTCGAAGCGGTCGAGGTTCAAAAGTGCCACCACGCGCGTGTGCTGGGCCGCGACCAAGTGGGGGCCACGGCCCTTTGCAGCGAGCACGGCGGCGCTTGCGAGGTCGAGCGCCTCGGCGTGGTCGTCGATGGACGCACCTCGGAGGAGGGAGTTGAGAGCGACGACGGCGGTGTCTCCCATGATGGCGGTGGGAAAGAAGGGACTGAGGACCGTTTAGCGTTGCCTTTGCGCATTCAAGCAGTCTGGGGTTCTCCGAGGGAGGAGAACCGGAGAGTCTGTGCTTTGGCTTCTGTGCTTGGCTTGGCTTTGGTATGGGTTTATTAGGTTGCTTGTCAGGGATGGTGGGTTGAGCCTGAGCTGCTACGACCGTCAATCAACTGCTGTCTGCTGTCGCGTTGCGGTGGCAGGAGGTCAACTGCGGGGCACTTCCTGGCCAATTTTTGAACGATTTTTGTGGGGTGAACCCAAGAGAAGTGGGACAGCTCAGGACGGGCAGGCAAGGCAGGGCTCCAGGGGGAGCTTTTGTGATGGCTTGGCTTTTCCAGTTGCATGGAACCGGGGCAATTGAAACGGTTCGAAAAAGGCGGCTTCGGTTCCCTCGGTCGAATTAACCTATTATTTTTTGGCTTGTCATATCTTCAGACTTCCTTGTTCCGTCATCTGACAAATCAGCGCGGTGGAGTTTGGCGTTGTGAATACACTCATTCAAGTCCAAATACAGTCGACAGCCATGATCACTTTGAGACCGTCTACTTCTGCCTTCCGGCAGGCATACTCCGGGTGCGTCTCTCGGGTTCGGGTCCCGGTTTCGGCATCGGGTCCGGCGTCCGGGAGTTTTCTCGCGGCCCGCGTGCAAGCCTCGTCCCCATTTTCGACAGTTTCACTCGCATACGACCTGCATGAGCCAGCAAAGCCCGTGGCCGACAAGCAAACATCGCCAATCATTTTTATGCACGGCTTGTTCGGGTCCAAGAAGAACAACCGGACCGTAAGTAAGTGAGTGCCTCCCATATCGACCATCAACACAATTTGGACGAACCTAGTTGACTTAGTATGGTAACAGAGTCTTGGCTCGTGACCTAGGCCGACATGTCTACGCTGTGGTAAGTAACAAGAGGCCTCACTTAATCCACCCAGTCCCCTCGTTGACACCCATAACAGGATCTGCGCAACCACGGCGATTCGCCTCATGATCCCCGCCATGATTACCCCGCCATGGCCGCCGATGTGGCCGACTTCATCCGACAACACGGCCTCAAAGAGCCGACCCTGATCGGCCACTCGATGTAAGCCAGGCCCTCCCAACCCTTCACAGCCAGCAGGCACATGTACAGACCAGCTCACCCCAACCCCCCCTTCGCCCCCCAAACAACAGGGGCGCAAAAACCGCCATGACCCTCGCCCTGCACTCGCCCGACCTCGTCGCCAACCTCATCGCCGTCGACAACGCCCCCGTGGACGCCCGCCTGGGGTCCGACTTCGGGTGGTACATCCAAGGGATGAAGAAGATCGACGAGGCCCAGGTAACGCGACAAGCCGAAGCGGACGCGATTTTGGCGCCCTACGAGCCCTCCATCGCGATCCGGCAGTTCCTACTGGGCAACCTGCACCGGCCGTCGCCGGCGACGAGCCAGACGCAGCAGTTCCGCGTGCCGCTGTCCATCCTGGCGCGCGCGCTCGACCACCTCGGCGACTTCCCCTTCAAGCGCCCCGGCGAGGTGCGCTTCGAGAAGCCCGCGCTCTTCGTCCGCGGCACCCAGAGCAAGTACGTGCCCGACGAGGTGATCCCGCTGATCGGGCAGTTCTTCCCCCTGTTTGAGCTGGTCGATGTGGAGGCGGGGCATTGGGTGATTTCGGAGAAGCCCGAGGCTTTTAAAGATGGTAAGTGCTGCTGTCCTGAGGTGTGTGTGTTGCGAAGTTTATGGTTGTGCTAACGGCGAGTGATAGCCGTGGTACGGTTCCTGGAGCCCAAGGAGTAACAGGTGTTTGGATTGTAATTGTGTTATGCAGTCATGCCCTTTATCTGTATTCATACTGGACATGACCAACTATAGAGCTGTATATACCTTCCATAAACCCCTAGGCTGCACTTAAAGTACTGTTGTTTAACCAAACGATGATCGTGTGGCGTGCAGTCTCCACATTAATGGCAAAGTTGGATATCACCTAGGGCCTCATGATTCGTAGCAAGCGATACCCACTCAGCCACTGTACCAGCATACAATAATTATCGATGGAACTAACTCCAAGGGACACGGAAGCAACACCATCTCGTCAACGGTCTCTACTGACATGACCTCCTTCCGTTCGTCGTAACCACGCCATGCAAAGACAGAGCAGCCGAAAAACAATCATGAGAGGTTGGGCCCGACGGCGGTTGGTTGATGTGACAATTGGCTAAAACTCTAGCTGGACGCGCCCTTGCCCTTGCCATGTCTCCCAATTGTCCCGCCGTTCGACTGCTCACAGCCCACCACACGTCACCAGGCGCCCGCCATTAGGTACCGTAGACCGTCCAGTCAAGGAATTTAGTGCCCTCGCTGCGATATGCCGTTGCTGGTCGTGTCACGGTCTTTTTGTAATCCTTTTTGATTCCGTGCGCTCCGCCATCGTAGACGGAAAAATCGTTACCTTGACTACTGTACCATGATACCACGCCAAATGCAACGAAAGCAAGCCCAAAGCCCCAGTGAGGTATTGCTGATGAAAACCCTGCCCAGTGCGTTCCCAATAACAACAACCCTTATACCGACTCGAGGACCTGCTCACGGAACTCCCGCTCAACCTTCTGGCCCTGCTCGTCGGTGCTTGACTCGCCGTGCAGCGTCATCAGGGCGCCGAGGTCGAACTTGGGCTGCTTGAGCAGCTTGACCTTGCGGATGTGGACCTGTTTCCCCATGTTAGCTACCCTGCCGTAGCCCCCCCACACTCTCGCGCCGGTACCACATACGTTCTGGAGCGGGTAGATACCCTGAGTAGCCTTCTCGATCTCGCGGCCGATAACCTCAGGGATGAGCTTGGAGGTGAGCTGCGTAAGGGTGCAGCTGGAGGCCTCGCGCTGGATAATCTCGGTCATCTTGCGGCGGATGGCCCGAATTTGTGAGGTCGCGGCATAGGTCGTCTTCTTGATCTGGTTAGGGCGGCGCTTGGTGAAGGCAATGGCGAAAAGGCGGAGGAGGTAGTGGTCGGTGGTCATGACGGTAACGTTGGCCTCGATCAGGGTCTGCCACTTGCGGACGAGCGAGCGGAGCTTGTCCGAGGTGAAGTCGAGACCGTGGAAGTTGGTCAGGCAGTTCTTGCCCTGGACCTCATCTACACGGAGCTTGATCTTGCGGAAAGAGTGGTCCTCGTCCTTTTGCAGATCGGCGAGCGAGACCTCGACGATGCGACCCTTCAGGGCATCGTTGGCGTTCTTGAGACCGGTGGTGCGGTTGACCAGGGTCTTGCCGACACTGATCATCATGTTAGAAGCCGTTCCGAGTTCGAAGCAGTCTCGTGCGGTATGCGTCTCGCGGGCGCGGGGTCTTACTCTCGGATGGCAAACGGCGCGGGGGCCTAGGATTCGAGAAACGTCAGTTTCTGGGCATGCCAAAAGCAATCATCTGAAGGATAGCGACTCACCTTGATGCCGTACCAGTCCTTACGGGTGAAGGGGTCCTGGGCCTTCTTCTTGAGGCCCTTCTTGCCCCTTAGACAGTCTCTTGTTCCTGCGGTCGGGTATCAGCCATCGGAAATTCCACCAAAAGCCAGGCGGCTGCTCGAAGTCGTGCAATTCGCGTTAAAATCGGTTATTTGGGGCGCAACGTACTTGCCAACAGCCATCTTGACGAGCAGCTATGTCAACGGCGGGACAGATGTGCTGCTTTGTTAGTGATGGAGACCGTGGAATCGAGGTCACGAAATTTGGGGGTTTCTTCGCTCGAGTCGAAATTGTGATTTCGTTGTGTGGGCGCAGCCCACCAGCGGAAAAACTAGAGATGTGGGGCCCATCAAAATCATTACAATTGGCTGCTCGGAGCTTAGGGCTCGATGGTCCGTGCGTCTTTGCCTGCTTGTCGGCATGGTCGTCGTCAAGGCCAAGAATGGAGGTTCAGAGCAGCCGTGTTTGAGAGACAGTTTCTTTCGCTCCCACGCCGGTCCGAAAGTGGACAACGTAGTCGCGACACACGCCCCGTATACATTCCGACGAAATGCACATACACGAACACAAAACAAGGAGGTCAGCGAATCATGGTTGACTCTTAAGCATTCATTTTTTAGCTTGTGGTTCTTGCGTCAACTTGCACCACAAATCGTTGCAGGTTACATGATACAGACATCCGGATTCACAAAACACAACGACGAGTCAGTGAGGAAATCGCTCTCTGCAATATCTGTTTGCATTGGATAACTTCATTTTCATAACCAATCTCGCTCCGTTTCTCCATTTTTCGTCTCCCCACCCCCAATCCACATCGAATGTGCCACAAGGGCAAAACCATACACGAGCCTCCCAAAACGCCCACGGCGTATCACGGGCTTTTTGGCCCCTTGCGACCGCTATCCGTTACCCGGCGAGTTCCGACTCTCAAAGATGCATTCCCAGAGCACCGAGAATTTCATGATTTGAGGCTTCTCCTTCGCTCCGTTCACAAATCCACGACCATGAAGAGTGTTCCTCCTTAAAGGTACTACTCTCGCTTTGCTTTCCAACCGAGACCATTACGGCCCGTTTCGGGGGCTTTTGCCACGTTTTCGTGACGTGGCGGTGGTGGTTCGGTGTCCCTGACGTGGTGCGCATCGCATCGAATGGCGGCGCTCCTGTCTCTGGGGGTGAAGAAGCGTGGACGTGGGGTTCTGCTTTTTACGTTCGATTTCCGCGGCCGAGTCATGTCGGGGTCATGTTGTTGACCTGTATCGACATTTGGCCTCGGCCTTCCCTTCAGACCGAGTCTCTCAAGGCGACTTGGTCTCCGACTTCTCGTCGTCTTGCTGGTTCGCTTCGTACAGGTCGAAGCTGGGGAAGCTGAAATAACGTCCAGAGACTGTGTCCACAATTAGCAATGTCTCCTGTCAAAACAATATGGCAAGGACGTACATGGATGGGGATGCAATTCATCAAAGGCATCCGGGCTGCTATCGGGCGAGGATGACAGCGAGCCGTGACGGTCCATGTTCTCGTACATGGATGAAGGCGTGGACATTATGGCCGGTGATCTGAGGACCGTTTCCGGTGGTGAGCCGGAGACAAAGGCCACCCGGCTCAACAGTTCCGTCGCCCGCCGGCCAGATTGAGTCGCGAGAGCATTGGGGCTGGCGTTCGAGGTTGTGATGGAAGGCTCCGTCGCGGTGGCCCTAAGAAGTCTTGGCCTCCTTGTGCTGGAGCACCGATCCGACGAATCCCTCCTCTGCATGCGAACCGACTCCGAAGTGACTGAACCCATTGTGAAGATGGTTTTGGGGGGTTGCCGGAGGTTGCTGGGGTAATGTGCTGCTGTGGGTGGTTGGCTGTTGGTTGGTGCAAGTGGTTGTTGCTAACAATTCAGAAACCCGCCGAGGGTTATGGATCGTTCATTACAGATTGCTGAGAGTAGAAGTGAAGGGAGAGGAGAGGGGCACGACATTCAAAAGGCTGATGAGAAGCTTAAGAACGAAACCCACTTGGGCCGAAATGCAAATCCGCTCAATGCCGGAGAGTGACGGTTTCAGTGACGGCACTCGCAACATTGCCACTTGGCAGTCCATGGTACGAGTTGTTTAGCAAGGAGTGGGAGGCTAAGCCCTTCCGATCTGTTGTCCACCAAGGCAAAGCGCGGGTGGGACGGCGATGCCTGGCCTTGTCCCCTGGCTGGCCTGGGCCTTCGAGACCTGCCACTTCGCAACCACCAACCCTGCTTGGGCGACCGGGCTTGCCTGACACAATGCCATCCAGATATTGGTTGCTGATGAGATGGCTGTTTCCCCATAGCACCCACCCACCTGGCTTGCCGCGGGCCGTAGCCACACGAACGAGGTACCACCACACACTTTCTGGCACACACTTCCTGCTGACCCGTCCCAAGCTCGGGATCTTGGGCATCCAGCCAGACAAGCCAACGCGCCTCAAGTGACACCTGCACTGCACACACTGGTGGTCCAACTGTCCCGCAGGGCGGGGAGGAGCGCCAAGGGTGGCCCCGTCAGGCTTCCAGACAATACCGAGTGGAGTACGGCAACCATCGCCAGCCATTCAAGTCGTGACACTTCAGGCGCTCTGGAGCTGCACCCTGCAGGCGGTGCATGGGTGTCTGGCGGCGATTGGCGACCTGGATCGCCTGGCCCAGGTATTCATGGTATTCCAGACTTAGCCAAGACGGCGGGTGTGGGCCAGCGTGCGCCAGGTACATCCATACTTTGTAATGTACTTCGTAACTTGATCAGTATTAGTTACCCATACCCGTCTTGCCCGTCCAGGAAGGACACTGGCAGCGGCTGGCCCAATCCCCAAGGTGAACCTGATCCCAGGCACGAAGGCGGTGATCGTCAGCGCACCATCCCCAACCCTCCACCGTTATGCACGTCCTAAACGACCGTCCCAGCAACGCGCCGACGCAGCTAAGCTCTTTGGGGTTGAGAATTGAGGAGAAGACGCGATCCATCGCTGTCCGCCCCTGACCTCGTGACAGTTCCAGATCTCGTTACAATATCGGCTTGATTACCCGCCCACCAACTCTCGTATGGGAATTTTCTTCACCGGTGCTGCAACGCAACCACACACCCCGACCTCGTGGGACCGCGGCAAGCGGGATGGGATTGATTGTGGGATGATGGACAATCCGTTCCGGACGTGTCCCCCCATTCGCCTTCTTCCCGGCATTGGCATTGGCATTGGCTTTTGGCATTGGCTTTGGCACCGGCATTGGCGCGATTTGTTTTCTAAAACGCGCGTTGGGGGGGGACAAAGAAAGTCTCACCGGCAAACCACAAGAAACAGGGGCCGAGCGACCGATCGCCGGATTCGACTCGATCCCCGGCTTCTTGTGACCGCCCACCCGCCGCCGCTCACATCCGCTCCCTGCTCCCACGCGGAACGTGGGGAACTTTCCCCAGACAACACAACACCGCCATGTCCGGCTTTGCCAGGGGGGACGGGGGGGTTATCCAGTCCTACTAGAATGATGATGAGAGCAAAGCAGGCCGCCGGACAGAACTTAACCTGCGCGATTTTACCCATTCCCCCAACTTCAATCCCACGAATGATACCATTGCCAATTCTCGTCGTGAATCATCAACCCCCAGGACCGTTTCCCCCGAGCCAAACAAGATTGTCCCCCGGATCCGGGTTGTGTTACCATAATCCGGCCAGGGATAAGAACCAAGAAAAAAAAGGGCGAGAATGAAGCAAACAGAGTCTCGAACCCCAGTTCATCCCAAAAAACGGGTTTCTTCCTTCCGGGGTTTCCGTCCGATGTCACAGGAAAGTTTCCGATCGAGCGCTCCGATTGAACCCATGGGACGCTTGGTGATTAGCGCAGAACGCTTAGAACGCTGAGAAGACTTGGAACGCTTGGAACGCCTCAGGACGCTGGAGCTCACGCCGGAACCAGACGGACAGGGGTAAGAAGCAACAAAAAAGCGAAATTTTGATTGAGGACAGGGGGGTTGCGAATGCAGAATCACGTCATATACATATCCAGAAAAGCGGGAGGAAACGTCCAAGTTTCCTTTGGGAAGAGAGAGCAGCTCATGGTGCTCAGCTGTTGCTAGCGGGAGGGGCTCGAGAGGGGCACTCGATGGTCTGACGACTTGATGATGAATTGTGATGTTTACTTTTTTTCTCAGGTGGGGAACCAACGGCGTAAACCGAGACACTTTACACACTCTCAGTGGCGACTCTCCTTTTCTCCTCGGCTGGCTCGGCCAGGTACCTCCATATTTTCAGCCGGTCATGACGACCATGTACACTCCTGTCAGACTGTGTACTGTCGATTGCTGTTCTGCAGATGGGGTGGGAGTGCACACGACATTGAGACAAGCCTTGCTCGACAGGGACAGATCTGCCCCTGCCCAACACACAAGGGGCAAGACGACAAGACGCGGGGATAGATGCGGGCAGTGTTGGCTGACAATCAACTCCCCGTGGCGGTACTATCCTAGCCGCGCGCGGGAATCGCGATTGTGGCTTTGTAAGTGAGCGCGTGACACGGCAAGGCATTTTATTCTCTATCTCTGCTCTGCCTTATCCGTGGGGGTTTGTGCTGTGTTGTCGTCGAAAAAATGCCTCTTGCAGCAATTATAAACCATTTCGAGGGGATTGTGAGGACGTGAGAGCCCATCCGCAACCAATCCGCTCTCATCTCTCGCTGCTCCAGCTGACCTCGTGGTACGGGATTGAAACGGCATTGGCTAACCCGTCTCAGACGATCCCGCGGCCCGCAACGGCACGAGTGGCTTAAGTACCCCAAGGACTGCAACTCGGACGCTGCGGAGGACCAGCCTCAATAAACTTCAGTGGTCGATACTATGTCTCTTGTCAGCCCTGTCCTCCCTAATTCGTCAGCGGGTGTCTTGGGTTTCGGCTTACTCCTCCCATATCCGGCCCTGCACCGACTTGAGCTCCTCCTCTGTCATTCGGTGGCCGGTCGTGAAATACCCTGCGGGGAACACTTGAGTCAGAAATGAGGCCGAAACGGGACGGAAGCACTGCAACAAACCGGCGTTGATCTTGGCATCGATCTCAACCCTCGAGTCTGCGGGGATCCACGACTCGGGAAGCTCGACTCGCTCGTGAATGGGGATACTGTGGGATGGACCGTCAGCGTTACCGGTCTCGGAGCTGCTAGCAGATCAGGTTGACTCACCCTTGCCCGACAATGGCATCGTGTTTCATGCTGGATATCGAAATGCGTCAGCTAGGGGAGGGGGCGCAATCGGGCACGTTGTGCACCACTCACTTGCTCATGCTGAGCATCCTATCAATCTTGGTGATGCCCAGCCAGTGCAGGATATCAGGCATCAGAGCCTGGAAGCGCATATCCTTGACCCCCGCGATGTTCTCGGTCCGCTTGAAGTAATCCGATGCGCGATCTTCCCCGCGCTTGCGAGCGTTGTACACGACTGCAGATCTTTGTTAGATGGCCAATAGTGTACGGAGTAAAGTGCCGGGTAGCACCGAGGGTTTCGACATACGGTACTGCGTTCGCGTGAGTTTCTGAAGCAGCAACTGTACAGGTTGGGAGATAACCTACCTTTGTTACTTCACCAAGAGCCCTCCCTTCCTTTCGGAAGTAGATGACTACACCACTACCACCGTTCTGTGCCTCCTTGACGGCTTCTTCAATGCCGAAGATGAGATACGGCCTGCATGTGCAGATATCCGAACAAAAGACGTCGCTTCCATTACACTGCAGGAAATATCAGCAAGGTACCAGGGGCGGTTAGGTAAAGTGTATTGTTATCAAAGCGTACCTCGTCGTGGATGCGCAAGGCGAGCTTCTTGGAGGGGTCGGACATGTTCGCCGGATCTCCAAAGCAGTATACCGTGAGGCCGCCTGCAGCCAGTCAGACGATATCAAGGACGGGGAGGTGTGAGGAGGGGCGATTGTTTACCAATAGGGGGCAGGAAGACCTTGATATCGGACCGGGTTATCAACTGGATGCTGCATCAGTTTCGCTTCTTACTTGAAAAAAATCCTGACGTTGATGCGGCAGTTACCTCTGGATACATGCCACCGGTGTGCTCGAAGAGCGACCTCCGCAGGGTGCCCTCATCGATACCGAACCGTTCCGCAACTCCCGGGAGATACCAAACCGGCTCAACGGCGAACTTAGTTACACTGAGCTCGCCAAGGTTGTTGAGGCACACTTTGCCGTCAGGAACCAACCGCCCGCTCTTCACACTCTCCTCGAGTTCGGGCAACTTCATGTGCGCCTTGGTGATAGCAATGGTCGGTCGAAGATCCACTATCACATCGTTAGCCTTGGGTAGGAGATCTAGTGGTAGTGAGCCGTGAACATGCCGTTCTCTTTCTCGATGAGGTCTCCGAAAAGCGAGGGTACCAAATGGCCCCAGGGGTCCATGGCCACAATCTTCTTCTCATCGCCCCATTGTGGGAAGGGACCGATGTTCACGGCAGGCTCGGTATTGGTAAAGTCTGGCCTGTGGTCGGATTTGAGTTCTCTGCTAGCCACGGCCAAGGCGTAGTAGATAGAGTACGAGCCGCCGTGAGCGCCGATGGCATTCCGTTTCCCGATGGTTGATGGTACCCGGGACACAGTGACGGGGCCACGCTGCAGCGGATCTGCGGCACCCCACTCCAACGGCAACGGCTTGATGCCGATCTGCTTGGGATATGTGGTGAGCACGACACGGGAGGAGAAGGCAGACTTGAGTTCCGGTGATTGCGGAACAACCGGAGGCGTCTGGGTGCCCGCTTCGGCCGGCAACGTCGCCGAGGGTGAAGGGGTGATGCCGCCAGCCAGGGGCGTTACCGTCCGTTTGACCCCGTCTGTCCCTGCCACACCCGAGCGTTGGCGGCCTTCATCCTGGGATTTCTCCAGCTCAGCTACATGTCGCGACACGGTTTCAACGGCAGACATCAGCTGCGTCTGGCCCAATGAGATGGCCTTCAACGCCTCTTTCACTTCGTCTAGGCTGGATGGCATGGCGGTTGTTGATGGAGAACAACGAGGATATAAGACGAGGGGCGTAACACGGCGAGAGAAGGAATCGAGATGAGACGAAAAAAATAAGTGCGGGTGTTGTTGAACAAAACTAGATAGGTAATAATAATAATATGTACGTTAGGGACGGGGTGGGTAGGTATTTAAGGCGAAAGCTTTCAGGTTCAGAACATCAAGGAAACTGAGTGCCTTAGGTAGAGCGGTGAGAAAACAACTACGAAGACTGAAATCTATTGGAGTTTCAAAGCCTTTGGGGCAAGCTTGGAGAAAGAAGAGGCGACAGCTGCGAACAGGAAGGCGGAATGCGCCAAGTTCCGGGCCTAGGTGAGACCCCGTGATAAGGAATTGGCTTCATTGGCAGCCATCGTGGTATCGCCGGCAGCGGGCAGCGGTGCTGGCCGGGCAGCTGCGCAGGTGATCGATAGGCAAGGGTTGGGCACCCGGCAATGCTCACAGAACCCCCTGTTACCATGCTCCGCTGCCCCACTCGGGAAGCCCAACGGCGGGGTACTGCAATCGGATCGACTGCCGCGCGCCAGTACATTTCCGATGGTTGCTGCTCTGCTGTGTTGTGTTGTGGTGTGCTGGTCCAACGCGGACAGCTCGGGTCTAGATGTACGGTGTGAGAAACAGAGAGAAGCTCGAGACGAGCCCAGGTTGGCTTGGGCAGTTTTGGGAGGATTCAAAGTCTTGTTGATTTCACCAGTGTTTTGATGTGGGATGTGAGAGACGGGCGATAACAATTGATGGATTCCATAACACTGGAACCCAGCTTCGATGCCATGGAAGCGCTGCAGGTGGAAAAAGGATGCAGGGAATCGACTGCAGCATGCCCTGCTTCCCAACCCGGAGGTGGACCCAAGACTGCGGGGCACAGCAAGGACACGGTATGCACGGGCCACTACGCGCTTCCCTCGCATGGCCAAGGCTGCTGAAACCCCCACAAGGCTGCTTGAGGCTGCACCGAAAACCTGGGTCAAAGGACAGTCGACGAGAGCTTCACCATGACGTGTGCTTGAGTCTCAAACAGCGACATATAGTGTTAACCAAGTCTTAGACTCTGGTATAAACTGAGAGAGCGAAAAAATACCCCACGGCAAGGTGCACGCTTGGCAACCATTTCTTCCATCGGCCTGCGCTTCACCCAACGCCCACCATCCAACAATCGGACTGCGTTTTCCGTAATCATCGAAACCTTTTCGATTAACCAGACCACGAAACTTACCAATAATCTCCAATCACAATGGGCAAGCGCAAGAGCTCGAGCAAGCCGCAGGGACCCAAGAAGGTACCGCTCGCGCATCTCTCCATCAATTGGCAGCAATCCCAGGCTAACCACCCCCGTTTTCCCTACAGCGCGACCCGCTCCCGACCACTTTTACATGCCTCTTCTGCAACCATGAGAAGTCAGTCGAAGTTAAGCTCGACAAGAAAGCAGGATGCGGCCGGCTCGAATGCAAAATCTGCGGACAGAGGTTCCAGTGCGGAATCAACTGTAAGCTGCCACCAACCCTTCCACTGGTTCTGGGACAAGCGGAACTAACAAAGATTCGAGATCTCTCGTCCCCGATAGACGTCTACAGCGAGTGGGTCGACGCAGCAGGTACGATGCGACATAAAGTGGGTTATTCCGCGCTGTGGTACGGAGGCTAACATTTTCTTCAGATGCTGTCGCCGCCGAAGCTAGCGAGGCCGAGAAATTACGGGAGGCAAACGGTTCGGGGAGCAAACGCACGACCGACTCAAGCCTGAGGATAGACGAGAACGAAGACTTGGACAGTTATGCGGGGGAGGGTATCGTAGATGATGAAGAGTACGACTGATACGCACGCTTCCTATGGGTGTGGGTGTTTCTGCACCGGTACAGGATTGGGATCATCGCGGGCGATATCAACCTTACATCACTGTTTTTGCTTGAGCGGGAGCAATGTCGAGTATGGTCTGTAATACTACGAGTTTTCTTGTACAGATGCTTCCTGGTGGGCCAATAATGGTGATTCACATGGTATAGTACCTATCGCCAAAGTCACCAAGGCCGGGTATAATGTAGCTGAGGAGTATTGGTGAGCCTGACATTCGTGGTTGGGGGTAGAAACACTTACTTCTTCTCGTCGAGTCCCTGGTCAACGAACGCCGTGACTAGCCGAAGCTTGGGGAACTTGGTGGCAAAGTTCTGGATACCCTGCGGGCTTGCGAGCACGTTGAGGAACAGGATACGTTCCTCGGGGACGCCGCGGGATAAGAGGACATCGACAGCCATGATGGCAGAGCCGCCTGTGGAGTGATCAGCGATAAGCGGTCACGGTCACAGCGTCGAAGACTAAGTACTTACCCGTCGCAAGCATGGGGTCGAGCAAAAGGACCCATCTATCAGCGATGTCCTCCGGGAGCTTATCGTAGAAGAGCTTGGGCTGAGACGACTCTTCGTCCCTCTGGATTAAGATTTTACCAATCCTCACGGACCGGCAACACTCCCGCAAGCCCTGCTCCATCGCCTCGCCCGCACGCATGATGGACACACCACAGATCTTGCCCTGGAACGCGAGCCCGCCATAAGGGCGACCGACCGGCGTCGTGACGGTGTGCTCAACCGTCGGAAGGTGGTTGAGGCCCTCCTCTACGAGCAGCCGGATGATTCTGTTGGAATAAAAGATGAAGTCTCCGCGCTGGGTGTTCTTGTTGCGGATAATCCTACGGGTGTATTAGACCCCGCGCATTGGAGGGCCAAGAAAGGAAAGTACTCACGAGAGCAACGCAATGAGCTGGGGCGTCTGCGGGAGGATGGTGACGGTGTCAAATTCTACCCCGGTTGAGACCACCGCCGTGGGCTTTTGGTCCTCGGAGCGATAGACAGGCCCAACACATTGCGTGACAGTAGGCTTGACGTCGGACATGGTGATTGCTGTTATTGCTCAGACTTGAACTAGGGAACGTGTGCCGAAGCAATGCGCGGATCGGACGAGACGTCGAATCTTTGCTCAAAAACACTCAATAAAGGGCGAGGATATTCTGACTCCGGATCGGCTGTCTGTATTCCAGTGGGGCGATGATAAGAACGACCCAAAAAGATAGAAAACGCAGAGGGTCCGTTCAGGCAGGAGTTGGGCGTTCGTACACAAAACAGTCCGGGCACACGATGAATCTGCTGCCCCTCCCAGCTCTCAAAGCAGGTCAAGCGAACATGGAATCCAGACCAACCCCACAGAGGCAGCTGGACTGGAACAAGCTGGCACCATAAGGTATTCACTGGCCTGCTGACTTCCTTTTCGTCTCGGGTGACCCACAAGTAAGGCAATATGATGCAGTCGGTCAATCCCAATGAACTCTGTGAAGCAAAGCCATGTTATTCTCATTAACAGCGGTTTTGCGAGCTGCCATGAGAAAACTGTCCACCCTATACGCCCACAGTGGCAGCTGGGCAGTCTGAAATGCCCGGACCGCCTGTACGTGGCGGGAGGTAAAGACTATTCTGTCACTATTAATCTTTATGATAGATCATAGCCAAAGTCCCGTCTGCTCCCCGAAATTCAATTTCATCTGAAATAAACCAAAGGAGAGTTTCGGGTGATCTGTGAGCTTTGGTCAGAATTCCGGACCCTGCGGGAGTGGGGTCGGCTGTTGACCCCACACAGATTGGCTCGAACCGAGTGCACGGGCCACATGTTAGAAGGCGGCAGGGTGGGGTCGCAGGCTGCCGGAGGTTGTTTCCAAACAACAACCGCTGCTGGCTACTCGCGAATTGCAGCAAACGATCCCTCGTTCCACCAGCGCAACAACTCGAGGAACCACACTCCGCTTTCGCCAACTGTATTCTAGGCGCGCGTTTGGTACCGAAGCTTCCACGCCCTTCTACTCCCCCAATTCCCTTCATTTCTCCATAGGCCGCGAATTGACTCCCATTAACACGTCACTTGGCCGTCGCGGAAGCTGCGACAACCGTAGCGAGAAGCGGGCTCAGTCCCAACTGAGACGTTGCAGAAGAATGCGTCGCCGGTACCCATCTGCTCCATAAGGAATACGTTCACTGGAATATCCAAGGATTTGTCAACAACCCGCAGTAGCTCGTCCGTCCTTCCTCAAATTCCATCATGATGGCCGACAGCACCGACTCCGTGTACGATTTCGATTTAGTCCCGAAGAAGAAAGTCGCTACCTACGGAAAAGGAGGAAGGCGGAGGGCAGAGACGACGACGAGACCGGCGACTCTTAGACACTCAGAATCAGCGCCGACCGTTCCGTCATCCTTCGCCGAGTCGCACCCAACATTGCCCGACCCCCGTCGCTTGTCGACGCGCGCCATCGGGGCCACCAAGGCTGGGCGGCAGGGCACCCGCAAACCAGCCCCTGAGACGCGCCAAAAGCTAGCGGATGAAGCGCACAGTCAACCACTTCCCGAGACCTACGAGATCGACCCTTATGACATTGACTCGCTGGTCGATGAGACCGCCAGGACAAAGAAAAGGAGGGTTGTGCGGGAGTCTTCCGACAAGGGAAAGTTTACCGGTCCTTACTCGACGCCGGATTCATCCCCTTCGGGCGCCCGGTCACCTCTTCCGATCAGCGAGGAGGAAATCCCGAGGTCGGCACCGGATGCTAGCCCGTCGTCCGCGTCTCGACGTAGTACGCCCGAGCGGGACATTGATATGAAAGATGGCGCCCCCACTTCGATGCCGTTCTCGGCAAAAACCACCCGCAGGTTGAAAAACCTCAGTGTCAGCTCCAAAAGTTCGGGATTTAAGAAGCAGGAAATTCCCATCCGTCTTTCTGCCCCTGCTCCAAAGCCTGCTCCAAAGCCTGCTTCAAAGCCTGTTTCAAAACCTACAACCAAGAACCCACCAGGCCCGGCTGCTGTCACCCCGAGCCAGGAGCCCACTGCTCAGCCAATCCGAAAGAGGCGCCTAATTGATACGTTAGCGGCGCAGGTTCAAGACGAAATCAATTCATCCGAGGAAGAAACATCATCACACGAGTCAGAGATCCTCGGTTCCCAATCGCCACCACAATTCCAGGCGTCCCCACCTTCGCCATCAGTTCTAGCTCAGCCGAAAACGCTACCACGCCCCGTTTTAGCGACTAAGAAGACCGGCCCAAAGTTCACATACACCCAGCAGCGGTCCATGCTAGCTGATGACGATGACCCGCTATTAGGAAGTGGTGGGCTCGGTGACATTGGTGACGGGAGGGCAGGAAGCGCGCTCTTTAACCTTGGGCGTCTTACGAAAAGCTCAACCGTAAACACCATCTCATACCTTGATGAAGACGAGGAGACGGGCAACACTGGCGCCGTTCGGAGTATTCACGAGCTGAGGCAGGCTGGCGCAAACAGCCGCTTTGCTGATGAGATGGACGACATCCTAGACAGAGTCGGCCTGCCCTCAGCCAAGCCCTCTTCTCTGCGGAGGGGCGCCTTGCTCGAGCTTGCTCAAAAAATGAAGCACAAAGATTTCCGCCAGCAGTTTCGTAACCACAGCGACGGCGGAAGCCTGTTCCGGTCGCTCGCCGACGAAACGGACCTGATCTCTGGATATGCAATTTTGGCCATAGTCACCACCCTTCTCGCCGCTACCACGTCGGCCCATCTGATACAGCAGCTTCGCTCGCAAGGCCTAGCTACACTTGTTGGCAAGCTTCTCGATAATACAACCGACATCGGGCAACTTATGAAAGACAGGAAACAAAACGTCTCCCGAAACGGCCAGCTTACCATCGCGATGATCAAATCTTCGCTTCTGGAACTTCCCGTTTGGGAGCCTTCCTCTCCTACAACGCTATCACCGCGGACCCTGGCCTTGAAGTGTCTCGATCTCCTTATGCGGCAGCCCACCCACGCGTCTGTCGAGGACGATGTGCTCTCTCAGGCAGTTACGGACCGCTTGTTTTCGATCCTCGCCGACGGTGTTTCTAACCCCGCTTTCTGGGACTTGTCGAATCAAAAAGAATCTTGCGACTTTTACCTAGCCCTCTATGTACTGGAGGGTCACTCGGTCAGCGCGATGCAGTCTCGGCTCGGCCCTCTGTGGACAAGGCAGCATGCCCCGGTGGTTGCCGAGGTTTTGGAGACTGCCCTGGAACGGCCAGCTGACCAACTTGGTGATCTTGAGAACCTCACTCTGAAGCTGTCTCTCAACATCACGAACCACAACGGGGAGGCTTCACGATTGTTTGTCGAAAAGGGGTTGCTCCGGCGTCTTGCAAAATCAGCGTGCGGCGCGTTCGAGATGGTCATGAACTCGATGAAGGCGGATTCCTTCATGTCCAAGGTCCTAGAATCTCTCATCATGATGCTGGGAGCCATGATCAATTTCTGTGTGTATTATCCGCCCGCTTCCAGCAGCCTCGAGGAACCAGGCGACGGCACAGGGTCGCCCCTGAACCGGCTCATTCGGGTGTTTGCAGAGAACCACTCGAAGACAGCTGACGTAAGTCCCATAAACCTCGCTGGCCCGTCTCAGCCGCTAATTTGTTGGAATAGGCCGACTCGATGGAAAAAACTCAACTCAATGTTGCCTTGGGCTATCTCTCGGTCCTGCTAGGCTATCTCTCCCTAACCGCCTCGATCAAGGAGCGGTTTGTTTTGGTTCACCCGAAAAAGAACATGCAACCGCTGCTCGATTCGATCAACGAGTTCATCACCTTCCATCGCAAGGTCGCAGAAGCTCAGGGCAATGAGGGAGTGAAACAGGAATCCGGGTCCCTGACTCGTCTCCAGGACCTCGCAAATCAACTAGCGGTGCTGCGTTGAAACGGCCTTCGCCCACCGCTCCCGCAGCTTTAATGACTCATGACGTTAGGACTTGGCTTGCATAGGGGACAGGTCTGAGGAAATCCTGATTTTGATATTTCAGTTGGCAGTTTCGGGGGTAGTTTTGGGGGTATGGGATGATGATGCAGCAGTTTCACTGCATAAGGGATGTGACATTGGGACATGACACGGGCACGAGGGAATGGATTCCCACAAACACATAGACGCAACGGCAAATTCCAAGCTTAGAATGGCCGCATTCACATTCTACGTAAAGAATACTTTGCTGCTCGAGTTTCCTCTCGTGTAACTATTTGCAGGCCGAGTCTTTAAATGTCAGTTCGTTGGCCGACGGTACCCTCATTGGGGGGCTTGGAATTGTCACATGTCCGAGTCAAATGTCACACAGAAGCCAGTGGCGTTCGCCTGGATGAATTCGATCCAGGCTTGAGCCGCAGCGGGGCGCCCAGGCCCCTGTCAAATGGGGCTTCTGAACCCCGCCAAGACTGCCAAGGCACGTAACCGGCCCGGCAAAGTAGCCACCCCGCCCTGCCATCGCTCTCGGAGAGGCCTGGAACCGCCGACCATATTGTGTTGCGGAGGTACCGAAGGAATCCATTGTGTACATTACCTCATTACCTTCACGCACTTTGTGCATCTAACACCTGCTGCGGAACCCTTCATGCAGCTCAGTTCACATTCTGGTTGAGTCAAGGCTCGCTGCATTGTGTCAACTGCCCCAGCCTTCCTCCTCAGTTTTGATCAATTCCAAACAGTAGGGTTTTTTAGCGACCTTTCGTTTCAACAAATCGGCTCGACACTCGTTTCAAGCCACTTTCGAGTTTGTCTGATCGCATCACGATACAGACCGACCGCATCAGACTATCTCTCGGCGCGACCGTTATTTACAAACCTTGTACTACCAACACCTCGAACTACCGTCGCGACAACAAGATCGTAAAAATGCCGACCACACTCGCCAAACAGCGGAAGATTGCCATAGTGGGCAGCCGCTCAGTCGGTTCGTCACCCCTCCTCCCCTCTATTCCCCGCCAACGACCCCCGCACTAACAACCCGATGCGTGTCTGAACAAACAGGCAAGTCCTCGTTGGCAGTCCGCTACGTTGACGGGCACTTTGTCGAGAGCTACTACCCGACCATCGAGAACACCTTTAGCAAGGAGATCCGCTACAAGGGCCAGGAGTTCGCGACCGAGATTGTCGACACGGCCGGGCAGGACGAGTACAGCATTCTCAACTCGAAGCACTTTATCGGCATTCACGGGTACATGCTGGTCTACAGCGTCTCGTCGCTGCAGTCCTTTGAGATGGTGCAAGTGATCCGAGACAAGATTCTGAACCACCTGGTTTGTGACCCCTCCTCAATTTCTCATGCTCAATTTCTCCTCCCCATGGAAGTTCTGCCCTTCCCCAATACCTCCCCTCCCACCACCCCCCCCCCCCCCCCCAATATTCAAACAACACCACACCCACCACCCACAGCCCCCATCCCCCCACCCTCCCCCTCAAAACAAACCACCCAACTAACCCACCAAAAACCAACAGGGCACCGAAACCGTCCCCATCTGCATCGTCGGCAACAAGTGCGACCTGCGCCCGGAGCAGCGCCAGGTGACGGCCGAGGAGGGCAAGGCGCTGGCGGACAAGCACGGGTGCGCGTGGACCGAGGCCAGCGCGCGCTACAACGAGAACGTGGCCAAGTCGTTCGAGCTGCTGATCGGCGAGGTGGAGAAGTCGGTGAACCCCGGTGAGCCGTCCGGTGGGGGGAAGTGCGTTGTTATGTGATTATGTGTGTGTGGTGTGGTGTGGTCTTTGGGTGCGGTGTTTTTTTTTTTTTTTTTTGTTTGTTTGTTTGTTTGCTTGCTTGCTTTTGGGGTGGTGGGATGGATCCATGGTTGAGGGGAGATAATGATGGTGAGATTCATGCTTTGGTTGGGGCTTGGGGCACAAGGAAAGGAGAGTCGAGTCCATGCCCGGCTGCATTACGTTAAGGGGGGTTTTTGCTGTGGTGGACCGGATAATGGGTTGGTTGGTTGGTCTTTCACCCTTTTTCCTTGTAACGATTCTGGGCTTTGCATGTGGCCTGGACATGTTCGTTGATTTGTGCATTCAGGGTTTGCTTTCAGGGCCAGCGTTGCTGCATATACAGGCAGGCAGTTTGGGGATGGCCTCAGCGGGGAGGTGTTCATGTTGATCTTCGCAGAATGTTTGGCGCAGTTGCGCCGAGGACAACGTTTGATGTAGGATGGGGACTACAGCAGTTGCAGAAGCAATGGCTTTACGTTTACTACTTGCCCACAGGGTGCTAGAGCAATAAAGTATATGATCACGTCTTTCTGATCATAACAAAAAGCTTCACAGGATCGGAATGGGTGACAGAAAGGCCATGCTCCTCTATCCCCTGATATACTCGGCTCGTCGACCCAAGTCTTGTCACATCACTGGATTTATGACCCAGTTGTTCACATGCCAACACCGGAACTCCTGCTTACGTCCATCCAGACCTTTACCGAACCGGGATTTCTTTCTTCTGACCCTCCTTCTTATCGCCTTCCTTCTTTTCAGCCGCCTGCTTCGCAAATGGGATGAATGCGGGAGCTCCAGGCAGGTACTATACTCATTAGCATCAATATGCCCAACAATGGAACCTTTCTGTCTTACCTTCCGGAGCGGCTCGGGGATGTTGACACCCTAGGGGAGAGTTAGTTCTGGAGTAAACAAATGGTGGGACTGCGTTCTGGCATGTTTACATCTTCAGTCTGGAAGTTCTCCAGAATCGCGCAGATTGTCCTTGTTGTCGCAGTGAGAGTCGAGTTGAGGCAGTGCACATAGATCTTCTTGGCATCGGTTTGCTTCTTGATACCAAAGCGGATTTCGAGATCACGGCTCTGGTAGTCAGTGCAGTTCCTACTTCAAAGTTAGCACTGCCAAATAACTTGAGAGTGTGTGCACTCACGAGCAGCTAACGAGCTCCTTGAACTCGCCTTGGTGGGGAAACCAGGCTTCAAGATCAAGCTTCTTGGCAGCTTCATATGGGTTAGCAGTCAAGGCAACACGCGTTTCTCTACCTTTCCAACATACCGGCATTGTCTGGCAAGTCTAGTTAGCTGTCTGTGGTAGGAAAAAAAGGGAAGGGTTGCTACATACTCAGAGCCCCAGAGACGATGGCAACGACACGGTGGGGGATTCCAAGGGACTTGTAAAAGTCTTCTGACGTCGAGATCATGTTCTCAAACATCTCCCAGGACCTAATAAATGTGAGAACATGATAAAACGGCATGACATGTAAGTTCCAACTAACTTCTCAGGGTCGGTGATGCAGAATTGCTCGACCTAGGACATATCAGATATGCTTCTGTGGGCGGTTGATGTTGTGGCTGACCTTGGTAAACTCGTGGACACGGAAGATTCCCCAGACATCTTTCCCGTGCTGTTGCAGGTCAGTCATTGAGCCAGTATACGTAGGTGGCTTGAACCTACAGCACCGGCCTCTTTGCGGAAGCAGGTCGAGTAGCCCGCATATCTAGTACAACATTAGTGAGAGTTGTCGCAGGCTATCTCGTCGCACTCACTTCAGGGGTAGTTCCTTGGGCTGCAGCCACTCGTCGCTGTGGTAGGCAGAGATGGGTTGTTCTGAAGTCTGTCACGAGTTAGCGGTGGCCACACCAACCGGACGGAGAAGAGACGGAACAGCACGTTCTTGTCATGGATTCATCATAATGTACTTACAGCAATGAGGTACTTGTCGGCTTGGTCGCCAGTAACTTTGTAGAGTTCCTCGTCAAACCTGCATCAAAGGTCAGTGGCGGCCTTGTAATCGAGGTAGCTGCTGAGGCTGACTTACTGCGACAGTTGGGCGGTCTTCGCCATCTGATCCCGGAGCATGAGTTGGGGGGTTTGCAGGGGAACGTATTCCCTGTCGTGCAAAAACTCCAGACCATAGTTGATGATAGCCCTGAAAGTCCTGTTAAAGCCCGCAATATAGGTCGAGTTCCGGGGAACCATACTGGTTGAGGAAAACACCCCAGCGACGCAGGAAATACCCGCGATGGCCGACAACCTTGACGCCTCTCTCGGGGTCGTAGCCGTCCAACTTGTCGAGAACCTCGTGATCTAGCCCCTCGTCAGCCCAATTCTAGGTCCGATACCGCAGTCTTGCCCTTACGCGAAAGAACATTGCGCTTCTCAAAGGTGACGCCCTCGGGTGCCCAGGTGCGCTCAACCGTGTTATCGTCCTAATAAGCGTTAGGCTGTTGTGGGCTCTAGGGGGCTGGATCGCTGGACACGGACCTCGGTCTTCGAGACCGGAACAGAGTCGTGAACAAGGTTACCGATTGTCTTGACCTTGATCCTCAGGAGTTTCTCCTTCTCAGCAGCCGAGGCAAGGAGCTCCTTCTTCTCCTTCTCGAGATCGGCTACGGCATATCAGCACCCTGAGCGGCCCAAGACGAGTCGGTTCCTTCCACCTTTTTGCTTCAGAAGATCGGTAACATCCTCCCCAGCCTGCATTCACAGTCAGAGTCGAGTAAAACGGGGGCGGTTCGAGAGGCGCATGCCTTTTTTCTTGGGGCCAATCTGCTTCTGGACTCCGTTGATTCTGCCGTTGCACTGGGTTGCGTCGTAGGCAGCTGTATACCGGGTGAGTCAGAGTCAGCGGATCGGCTGGTGACAGCGATGAAAGACAGGGCGAGGTTTGGGTGTCGACATACTCCTGCGGTGATCCTCCCACATGGCGATAACCTCGTCGACGACCTCTACGGGGGCATGGCGCTTGCGCTGGCTCTCCCTAATCTTCTCAGGGTTGCCGCCGCGCTCGGTAACTATCAGGGCTCGACGTTAGCCTCTCGAGCAAGGTCATCGGGCTGCGCCAAGCCATGATCGCGTGCAATCGGTATTACGAGATGCGAAAACTAGAACTGGACAACGGGAATAGGTGAGGCAGGGGATGCCATACTGAAATCGGTCACGTCAAGCATCTTGGCTGCTGTGTAAACGACTAAAACAAATCTCTAAGTGCCGCGACAACAACAGAATTGGCGATGGTGTCGTAAATACAGTCAATGGCGGGGCAGAATATTTCGGCGGGGTGGAGGGGGAAGGTGGGGTGACAGATCGGACCAGGGGGGTGGGTTCCTTGTTGCTGCAGGGCGTCCGTATTGATAACGCCAAGGTACGAATACCCGTGACAGTTAGCTATTGTGTAACATCGGAAATAGCTCATTTAATTCTATGCAAATATCGAAGTCAATCTTCTCCAACTCCCTACCCAAGGTAGGTATCGACCTGGTAAACGATGACTCCCAAGTTCTGTATTTTGGTAATTGTACAGCAAGCGTTTCTTTGCGTCCCCCAGATTGTGTAAGTACCATTCAATAAGACCGGGAAATGCAGTTTCGATAATCCCAACATTTCCCGTCATAGGTTGAGATATACCCCTCGGGTGATCGTCGGGTTTGGGTTGTATTTCCTTTGAGCGTCTTTGCAGGTTCCGGGGTATACATTTTAACCCCTCGGGTGGTTTGCTGCGGTGTATTGAAACCACGCATCCCCCCTCAGCCCTGCCTGACTCTGAGCATCCACGAATGATGAAGCCTCCGAGTGGGAGCCGAAGCTGGGGCTGGAAGGTTGGAAGTATGGTATTCCCATAGCCGACGGGTCCAAGTATAAAGGCGAGTATATTGAGGACTCGGCTGCCGGAAATCCTGTTTGGGCGTAGGAGGCGACGTGAAAACTCGGGCTAGCGGGAGGGGGGATGCCGAAGCTCCACGGCTCGGAAAGCAGGCCCGAGTCGAAGTCTGTCCCCTGGCGGTTACATGAAGGAGCAGAAGGATAGTTCTGCAGGCCCCAGGCTTTGGTATCAACGGTGGTGTTGGAAGGTTTATAGGCTGTGAGGGCGGATGCGACACCACCATCGAAGAGGGTTGGAACACAGGCAACTGGGGCGACTTGCGGGAGAGGATCTGACTTTCTCGTCGGGGACTTGGTTTGTAAATCCTTCTGGCCAGTTGCTGTTGCAACGCGGACCCGCAGGTTGGTGTCGAAGGAGCTGTGACAAGCGATGTTCATTTTAGAACAGTTGGGGCATGGGCTGCCGCCGAGACATCTAACCTTTCTCCGCCGACATGTCAAGCATCCTGAAGCAGTGAGTTAACCGTTTTCGCCAAGGCCACAACGGCTCTTCAGGGCACGCACCATGGAACGTTCGTTTTAGAGGCTGAGCCATGGTCGTCGCCAAGAGTTTTGAGTTGTTGTGCGAGTGAAACGAATCGTGAGTTTCTCGACTTTATATACAGCCACCCCGCGAGGTTTGTCGAGCTGAGACTGGCCATTTCTAGTAGCAAATACGTACAGTATACCCGCTCTAACCCCGAGGGTCTATAACGCTGCCTGTGTAACTAGACGTTTCTCTTCGGCCGCCTTGGACAGGAAGTTTCTATAATCACGAGCTGCAGTGGTTGACTCAGCAACTTAACACAGCCTCCGGATCGGTCGTCGTCAACCCTAGCAACACAGCCCACCTTGCGTGTAACAGGCTGATTTGACTACGATATGGAATCTGTGAGTACTGGAAAGGGTCGGATGACTGTCGTAAGCCAGTCTATCTTCAGCCGAGCCTTCCCAGCCATGGTACCTACATGTATGTGCACACATCCCGGTGCGTGCCATGCTTGTCGCCTGCGGAACTCGGTCCCGTCTTAGCCTGCTCTAACTTAGTTTTGCTCACCCGGTTACAGACACGCCGATATCCGCTGCCGGGGGCCCCTCCATCACACCGCTTACTCGTTCCGAACCATACACGTTGGAAGTTCCTTTTAAAGGGGCCAATGGGGGTGGTCTTTTGGCCATTCGAAGCCTGTTCAACCCTTTCTAGGCTCCCAGGATCCAAACATGCGGGTCCGTGAGTGAGATAAGCCTTGTTCGAAAGTAGCGCCCCCGCGGAGATGGAGTTAAGAGTATTCGGAGATAGAATCGACAAATCAAGGTTTGTAATTTGTCCGGAAAGGGCAGTCACCAGTTGTCTGATCTACAATTACCGTCGGAACCCGGGGCGAGTGCCGGGACGTGGGCTACAAGCCGACAGCCGCAGTAGTAAAAGAGTTCGCTAATCGGCGTTCCAGAGAAACCTGGGAAGAGGGTAAAGCAAGTAAGCAGTTAATTCTTATCAAATCTCACTCATTCCCTGTCACCAGGTCAGGCCTCATGGTTCGCAGGTATATTGTCTGCATACCGGTGAACAAGGGCACATACATGCTTCCTTGGGTTCGATTTCTCGGTCATCGATATACACACGCTGTGGATGCTGGTGGGCTGCGCCTGTGAGCCATCTGTTGCCCGTGTCTTCGTAGTGTTTACAGAAAAGAGGAGAGTCATGCTTGGAAATCGGCCAAGCTAACTAATTTGGGTAATGCGACCGCAGCGGCCTGGGGGTGGAGCAAACGCTAAACGCAATAAGGTTGCTTTGTCTCGCTCGCGTGTCTTAAATGGTCGTGTCCACCATGGTTACTTTCCGTCCCTGGGACCTAATAGCTTCTTCCCTCGAGGGTTACACTTACGGAACCTTTATGAGTATCGGTGCCGGCGATTCACAGCAGAAAGACAGGATGGCAACTCGGAGACTCCGAAAACAGGGGGAAACCTAAAATCTTTCCTTTTGGTGCCAAACCTCCGGTGCGGGGTTTGACCCTAACCGCATAAAGGATGTCTCTTTCCAGGGCAAGGCAAGGGGAAAGAGCCGGCCGGCCCAACAACCTAACCCAAGCCAGCGCTGGCCTGATGGGCTCGCTCATGCACAACTCGCAGTTCGCGGTTCGCAATTCGCAACTCGCAGCTTTTGCCGCAGATTTTGCGTGGTTGGTCGGGCTTGCCCAGCCTCTCGCCCAAAATAAGCCATTCCATAATTCCCGATAGCGTTATGATCTCGTTGCTCGACCGTCAATGGTGTGTGTGTTTTGAGACCGCGCCAGCTGCCAAGGTACCGAGTCCGAACAAAGAGAGTTGACACGGACAAAGAAAATGGCCGAGGACAAGGCAATGGTGTGTCCCTTTTGCGGCTGGGAGAACGGGGCCAACAGAACCGGCGAATACGAAATACTGTTGGTGAGTTTGTCTGACTTGCTGGTAGTTCCTCGGTGCACTAACAGTTCCAGCACATGGAAACCTTCCATCCCGAAGGTGAAGGGGACTTGAGCTCACATTCCGTTGGTGTGAAAGAAGACGACAACTCGTCTACCAGACCCAGCACTGCTGAAGACGTTTCATACGTTGAGTGTCCTATTGACGGATGTGGGGAAATTCTTCTGCTTCAAGAATTGGACTACCACCTTGAGCTCCATTCCGAAGAATCGGGCCATCACCTCCAGGAAGAAGGGGCGTCAGTACCGGTACCGCATGCCAAAACTGAGGCAACTCCTCCTTCTGGGCCGTCGAGGGCTCATCGTGAGGCAGAAAGGCACCGTCGGTCGGACCGTGAGCCCGAGAAGAACGATCGCCAAGCCACAGCTGTCTCGGCGTGGAAACGGCTGCTCAGGATGCCTGGGTCATCGACTGCCCATAGAATTCTGTCGTCAAGACGGCCACAGAATGAGGATACTTCATCAGGGCATTCCAGCCGCGGTAAACGGCTTGGTGTAAGTGTTCCTTTCCGGCTGCTAGCCTATCGGTTCTGTCGGGCCCGGCTCATAGTTTCCAGAAAGCCCAACTTGGAAAATACGCACATGAGGACCGTATGCCGGACTGGCTGGTAGTGATGCTCAAGAAGAACGGCCAGGTCACGTCTCAAGGTAAGCCACATCCTCCCTTTCCCACCATACCAACTCCTCGGTTAACAACAACAGGTGTCATCTCTGTGTTAGCGCTGCTGCTGGAGCAGAGCCCGTCGACAAAGTACGCCTATCTCTGCCATCCGTCCGTACAGCATGTCTCAAAATTGAAGCGGGAGGGTAAGTCCTAGGACCCGTGATGAGCCTGACCCCCAAGACTCGCAAATTGACAATCCCGTAGGAGCGTTCTGTGGCTACCGGAACATCCAGATGTTGTCCTCGTGTATAGTTGATGCCAAGCTTCAGGGCCACGAACAGTTCCACGGTACTATCCCGTCCATTTTCCAAATTCAAGAGTGGATCGAAACCGCCTGGGACCAAGGTATCAACCCTCAAGGTCGCCTCGAGACGGGCGGAATCAGGGGAACGAGGAAGTACATTGGTACGCCGGAGGTACCTCTCATTCCCTGTTAAGTCGTCTCTCGCTTCCACAGAACCAGGCTGACTAAAATCACTAGGCGTTGGCCGTGTTCCGCCTCCTAGATATCCCGTGCGATGCCGAGGGGGTGAAACACAAGGAGCCTGGCAAGTCCGAGGCGCTGCTCATGGAATATGTCGAGAACTACTTCCAGTCGGGCGTCGAGGACCCCGAGCAACAAATTCGTCAGACCAACCTGCCCCCGCTTTACTTTCAGCATGCCGGTAAATGCCCTTCTCACGCACACAACTGTTTACCCCAGAATGCTGAATTGTCATCTGCGACTAGGCCACTCGCTTACGATCGTCGGCTTTGAGAAACTTAAGAATGGGCCCAAACAGCTGATCGTCTTCGACCCCTCCTTTCACGACTCATCGTATATTGTGCGCCTCGTGGGCAAGACCTTCACCCATCCCATGCCGGATCTGGCGCTGAAGCCGTATCGGAGGGGAAGTCGCTACCTCAAAGCTTACAAGGAGTTTGAGTTGTTGAGGTCTGTACTCCTCCCACCCACAACGTTCATTTGGCCCTAAAGGTATACTGACGGTCTCAAAGAATACTACCCGGGCCGCCGGCGGTCTGATATGTAGCACCAAAGCGGCTAGCCTGGTACTCGATTCGACGAACCCCGTCTTACCCATCGATTCAAGAGTGCTTCTCAGCATAGCAAAACAATAGACAGCAGGCGTTTGCTTACGTATTGTTCGCGTTTTGCATTTGCCCTTGATTAATCCGCAAGTCTTCTACGGCGCCATCTCCTTTGCAAACCACTCCTGGAGCTTGGCCAGCGCCCGGTAGCGGTGCGAGATCTTGTTCTTTGCCGCCTTGTCCATTTCGGCATATCTACTCCCATTAGCAACCACTCCCTCATAGAATCAACATGGACCTCGAGGGCTGAATGAAATTAACTTACGTTTGCCCCTCATACTCAAAGATAGCGTCCCACCCTGTCATCGTAGCCCACCACGGATCAGCTCTCAACTCTCTCACACACCACAACACAAGGTCGAGTGACCACCCCACCCCAAAAACCCCCCAACACCGCAGCCCAGCACAGCAAAGCAAGCAAAGAAAGCAAAGAAAGCAAAACCTACCGAAATCTCCCGGCCCCCTCGCCGGCACGATCTTGCCGTCCGTAATCCCCTGGAACAGGATCGGCTCATGGCCGGGGCCCGCCGAGTAGGCGAACGTGCACACCGCCTGCGCCGACTTGTCCTCGTACGCCGCCAGCAGGTTGTTGAGGCCGGTGTGGCCGAGGGACTTCATGAACCATTTGCTGGAGGGGAGAGAAGGGGGAGGGGGGTGGTGATTAGTCTGATTAGTTATTGAAGCAGGGGAGGGAGGTGGGTGCGTACATGTAAGGCCCGGGCAGGCCGTTGAGGGCGTTGAAGCAGAGGCAGGTGTCTTCGACGAGGACGGGGCCTTCGACCTGTGGGGTGGTGTTGGTTTGGGTTTCTGGGATGTATATATTTCTGCATATACCATGGGTGGATGGAGGGGGAACAGGGTGTGATTTTACCTACCAAATCAGCTGCCCGGCGGCACTTGTCTAGCGTGACTTCTTCGAGCGTGCCCTGAATCTCGATCAGGTCCAGCGTTTGGCTCTCGACCTGGATGGCTGGCTGCAGGATGGCCCGGACTTCGCACAACTTGTTGGTGTTGCCTGTTATGAAGTTGACCATGTGTCGTGCTGCTGTGGGGGTCGTCATCTTGAGGTTTGTCTCGTTGTTTTGTTTTCCTTGGTTTGGACGTATTGATGTTGTCGAGGTTGTTTCTATCGAATGGCCGTGATTTCAGGTGATACCAGGTCCCTCTCGCGGGGTGGGGTTGGAGGGGCATTCAATCCAGTAATTTAAGGTAATTACCAATTTTACATGGACCTCCTTTCCTCCTTTGGCCCCGGTTGCTGCATACTTAACTTCCCCTACAGGAGAACCAAGCCATATGGCCTCAGGCCCCTACAGTTATGTGTGGACATATCGATACCTTGATAGGGAATGATCGAGGGTGGGACGCCCGCCCGCAGCGATGAACGGGTCATGTCATATATCATGATTTTGTCTTGAGTTCATCATGAAGGTTTTTCAACATTTTCACAGCCGAATTTTCCCGCCTTCAAGCCCCTTTAAACAGTCCTCATGAGGCGTTGTTCTTCTTCCACTGGTCCAACCACTGCTCGATCCTCTCAATATTGCTCTCCATCCCATCTGTGTCCACGCTTTGCAGCTCAACCACAATCTCCTCGTCATACGACTCCTTGGCCTCCTGGAGCAGCACCTCCATAATCTCCGAGTCCATGTTCTCCTGGAGTTTTGCCTCGGAGTATTTCCTGAAGTCATGTCAACCACTGATTCTAGCACTTTACCTGCAAACCTACAAGGGGAGAAAAAATAGGTTGACTTACCTCGCCTTCAGGCGATCATACAACGTCGCCGTGTCCGCCCGCAGCACCACCACCAAGTCGATCCAGCTCTTGGGGAACAGGTCGCACGCGTGCCAGTCTATTATGCAGCCACCCTGCTTGGCGTCTTCCTCGATGGCGTCAAGCAGCTATTATTGCAGATTAGCACCGCCCATCCAAGCATTGAGTGAGCTGAAGAGAAAAGAAGCCCAAAACCTCCAGAAAAGAAAAACCCACCTTATCCTCATCCACAATCCAGCTCTGAAACTCGTCGTCCCACCCCTCATGGCATTCCTTGTCCTTGACCACCTTGTTGACAGAGATGTGCCTGAGCCCCGTCCGCTCAGCCAGCAGTTCGCTGTGACTCGTCTTGCCGGTGCCGGGGGTGCCCGTAATGATGATATTGGGGAGGCTGCGAGACATGTTCGGGGTATTTTTGGTTTTTGTCTTCTCAGTCTTGGTAATCTGAGTCACTGCTTCTTTTAACCCTTTTTTCACTGCTTTTTGGGTGGGGTGTTGACGGCTCTTGAACAAGGGTGATGCGGGTGTAAGTGGTGAGTGGTTCTTGACTGGTTTTCGCCCAAAAATATTTTTGCTGTTGCATTTTGGGGGGGATAATGTGCGGCGCCATAAATCCCCACTGTGTTCATACTTTCCAACATGAATTGAGCAACAATAGCTAGAGAGGCAACCGCGCGGATGCTTCCAGTGTTACCTTGTCGAGACAAGATTGAAATAGATCGTATAATATGCTTAATTCTAAGTCTTTCTGTTTATAATCCCTGGATTGAACTAACTCCCGGCCTGAAGTGCACTAACACCTCCACCGCCCTTCTGTAGTCTTTTCACAGTTCAACCATTTTATCCCACCTCGCCTCTCATCATCAGGGACACTTACCAGTTCCTCCTCTCGTTCTCATATCCACCCACCGACCTCCATGCATACCGGCCCTCTCTCCCTGTCATGTGTTTATAACAAAACCCGTAGAGCGGCGTGCGAGCAACCAAGTAAGCAAGCAAGCAAAGATAGAGAGCCCAGGGGGAAGCGACATGTTAGAGGGGGGAGAGACAAGAACGCAAGCAAACAAACAGCGACATCTAATATCCATCCCCAGGCTAGGTAGGTAGTCAGCCAGTCAAAAAAGCACATCACATCGTCCCAGGTTCGTAGATAATCCCACAACAGAGAGAGAATATGACGAAAACAAGAACCTCTGATAAAAATTCCCCGCTTTCCCATTTCCGACCGCCAACCGCCAACCGCCCGCCCCTCACCTACTCCCACTCCTGTCCCTCAACCTTTTGTACCCCTTTCCCACAGGACCCACACCTGCACCCGCGCCACCGCCTTTATCATCACCACTCCCACCCCTACCCACGTCATCCCCACCCCCGTCTACCCTCCACGGGCCAAGGAGCGTCGCAGCAGGCCTCTGCCTCCCTCTCTGCCTCGGCAGCACCAAGGGCGTGGGCATAGGTTGCATCATGGACGGACCAACCGCAGCAACGGACGAGTCGGGCCGCATCGCAGCAGCAGCAGTAGCGGTAGGAGTAGTAGCAGTCGAGGCCGCCGACTAAGCGGCGCTCGCTGCTGCCATGCTCGTCGGCCGGCTGGCCTGGCTGGCCCGCTCGGCCTGCTCGGTTTGGTCGACCTGGGTCATGTCACCGGCGCTCTGGCCGTCGTCGTAGCCACCCTCGTCCTCTCCCTCGTCGCCCATCTCAGAGCCGTATTCGAGCTTCTCCTGCTGGGCGATGGCCTGTTGCGAAACGATCTCGGCGAGGCGCTTCAAGCGCGGGGTTTGTAACCCTGTTTGGGGTGTTGTTAGCGTGGATCCCAAAACCGGGATTAGAGTTGGAAGTGAAGGACGTAAACTTACAAGATGGTGTATATGTCTCCAGAGCGGTAATGACTCTGGGCTCGGCGATTTCGTACGGCCCACTGTCGTCCATGTCGAGAGCCGGAAGCAAGAGGACATCGCTCTTCTCCGTGACGCGCGACGCGACCGCCTTCATGATGTCGCCGTTAATGGGCTGCTCGTAGTCGGCGACGAGATACTGGTTCAGAAGTTTCTGAATCTGGTTGGGAGAGAGCCTGTTGACACAGTTAGCGGGGGTCGAGAATGGTACGGAGTAATAGGAAAACTCACATCCAGCAGATATCCTGAATGATCTCGATATCGTTCAGGGTAGCTTTCTTGAGCTGGAGGAGCTTTGTCGCTTGCTAGAACGAGGGTTAGCACCATTATCCTGCTATCGCAATCATAGGGCTACTCACCATCAGATGCTCGAGCTGGAGCGTGCCCTCGGGCATCTCGTGGCTCTTGCACCACTCCTCAATGCGGGTAATATTGTAGTTGATCTGCAGGCCACGCTTCCACGAGAGGAAGTTGCGACGCATCAGCAGGTCGTTGAAGGCCGTCACGCCGACCAGTTTGAGCAGCTCCGTGGTGGTCTGCATGATGATGGCGTCCTCGAGATAGTAGCCCTTCATGGCGCGGAACACGTTGTTGAGCAACGACAGCAGGTTATCCATGCTATATGCCGGCTGGCTGTTGCTTTGCAGGAGCTTGCCCAGGAATCGAGTGTTGTCATTAGTTACGAAGCCCGGCAGGGACTGCGACTCGATGATGGCGGGGATGACCATCTTGCTGAGCTTGCGCTTGAGCATCTTCATCCAGGTGTGGTATATGTTAAATTCGAGGCTCTCCAGATCATGTTTAACGATCTCGAGTAGGCGGTCATACTCGTAGTTGTCCGACTTTTGCGCCTCATACCAGTCCTCGGCGAGGAAGACAAACGACAGCATCTCGTGCACGTTAGATAGCCAGAAGGCGCCGTGGTTGATAGACTCGTCGTCGTCGTGTTGCATGACTTCCTGTTGGATGGACTGCATGACGTTGGCGAGGAAGCGCTCCGACTCCTTGACAAAACCATTGTTCCACATTTCTGACGTGACCAAGTTGATGAGGAACGACGGGAACAGAACCTCCTTGTCCGAAGGCGCGGGGTTGCCCGTGGGAGACGGTATTTTGAGGTTGCGGATGAGACCCAGAGTAACCTCCTGGTGAAGAGCGTCCTCGTCGGCAAGCAGAGACTCGAGCTCCAGCTCGATGCTGTCGACGCCAGGAATGTAGGTCGACCCGGACATGGTGGTCTGCCGGTTGCCGCCGGGCACGGCCATGGAAACGGGGCGAGGGTTATAGGTCGTGCTGTACCTATCAATCTCACGGACCTCGGCGCCCGCGCTCCGCCGCTTGGGCTTCTTGGCTGCCACCAAGTTGATAAGGCCGGGAGGTGCGGCGGGGGTGGTAGCGTGACCGTTGGCAAGCTCGCCGTTGACGGGAACAGCCCGCCGGGCTTGCTCGAGCGCTTCTTGGAGCTCAGCGAGCTGCTGCCGGAGCGAATTCTTATCGGCCTCTTGGCGCTGGCTCTCCTCATGCGCAGTCTCGAGCTCCGTGCTCGTAACACGAAGCGATTCCCGGAGCTGCCGCTCCTCGTCCTGCATTCTCTTGACGCTGGCCACCGACTCCTCGAAGCTCGCTTGGAGCTTCTTCATCTCAGCTTCCATGGCCTCGAGACGGGCAGCAGCGATACCCGCTTGGTTGGCCTCGGTCTGTAGCTCCTTGGTCCGCGCCTCGAGGGCGTTGTGCCGGTTCCTCCAGATGGTGACCTGGCCTTCGTAGTTCTCCACCTGCGTCTTGAGCTCCTTGTTTTGCGCCTTCATACTACCCAGAGACTGCGTCAGCTCCACCACCTTGTTCTCGAGCTTATACGAAATCTGTTTGAGATCGCGAGCTTCAGCACGCTTGACCTTGTACTCCTTGCGAGCAGACCTTCCACGCCACAAACTTTGGGCAATGACGACCTTCCTGCGGAAGTCCCTCCATGCTCGGAGTTGCCTCCTTGACCGCCAGCTCCGCTGGATGATGAGGGCAGCATTGCCCATGCGGGTCTCCATGATCTCCTTACGCCGAAGGTAGCCCTTGAAGGCCGCTTGGGCGCGGATGATATCGTTTCTGACGCGGAGGAATTGCTTCCTCTGTTTATGTCCGCGCCAGACTCTCTGGATCGTGGTGGCAGCCCTGACCGTCCGCATCTCTTGCGCAGACTTCCGGGCCTTGTAGGCCCTCGTCGTGGCCTGGAACGCAATGATGGAGGCCCGGGCCTCCAAGTATTTCTTGCGGTAGTACTTGGCTTTGAGGTTCTTCTGAATCATAATGGCGCAATCGTTGAGCCGGTTGGTGCGAAGGTTCTCCAGGAAAGCCAGCATGCCGGCTCGGAAAAAGATCTTTGTGAGGCCTAGCTGGTACTTGTCCATGCCCTTAACTGTGCTAGTGCCGAGTGCCTTGGTCAAGATCGCGTTTGCCATTTCCCGAATCTCCGAAGTCCATTCTGTTGAGGGTACCAGCATGTAGTATCGCAGAGCAAACTCCTCGTAGGTCCACCTCGTAGGATAACCTGCGCAGCTGATGCGGACTGTTTCTAGTACACCGCAGGCGCGGAGTTGGCTCAGCACCATGGGCCCCTCGAACTTCCAGGCCTCCTTCGCCTCGTTGGGCTTGATGCAGCGGATGTAGTGAACATCGGTGCTGTTGATGGTGTTCATGAGCTCGATCAGCGAGGACTTGAAGATGCCACCGAGTGTCGGCTTGCGGTTAACAGCGACACCGATCCTCCTGCCCGCCGCCGGCTTCACTGCATTAGAGCTCGCCGACGCAACGTCCTTCTCTCGCACAGCCGACGCCGCTTCAAGGACGGCGCCGAGGAATTTGTTTGTCGAGGCGCGAAGGACGGCCATGTGCTCATCCGGAACTGTGTCACGGTTCTTTTCGATGAACCCATCCGACTCGTACGCCACGTCGACAGCATAATGGCAGACGGTGAAGGAAGACTTGCCGAACCTCGGCTTCTTGTAGAACTTGTGCTTGTCGGCGGCGTAGTTGTGATGCAGCTTGTTCACGAACTGCTCATCGGAACCCATGGGCAGCCTGGATTCCTCGTCCAATAGCGAAAGGATGCCGAGTTTGCCCTCGATCAAGTCGATGCAAGGCTGGTTGTCGGCAAAGTCGATGAAAGGTCCAGTCGATCTGCTCCCTCAGGTACTCCTCCTGTTCGAGTTTGAAAACGTGCTGGTTGAATTCTTGCTGCAGCTTCTCGTTGGCGTAGTTGATACAGAACTGCTCGAACGAGTTCTTGGCGAAATGCTCGAAGCCGTAGATATCGAGCACACCGATGAACGAGCTGACCCTGTTGAGCACATCCTCCGTCGCAAGACTCCGGTTGATGATCTCGACCAGCCAGTCGAACATACTCGAGTAGATGAATTTGGCGACGGAATCCCTGACGACGATGGCCTGCGCCTGTGTCAGATTGGATGTGATCTTCTCACCGCGCGTAACGAGCTGTTTCTTAACAACCCATTTGGCGAATTCGGTAGCATCGATGCCGAGAATCTCACAAGCCTTCACCAGGGCGGGCTCAGTCGCCGAGAGCACGCTGTCATTTCGCGCTGCGCCAATCTTGACGTTGCCCAAATGCAGCAGACCCGCGAGCAGCTTGAAGATATCGGCCTGGTCTGCGTCGCTCACACCAATTGTCTTGAGAGACTGCTTGGTCGCGACGAACTCAGCCTTGTCGTCCACGCCGTCAATGGTCGGCATGTTACCCTGGTTCAGGTATTCGAACTGCTCGACCGGTAGCAAGCCAAGCTCCTGGCGCTCCTTGTCTGACATACCGGCCACAATCTGGTAAAAGATATGGTAGTTCCGCTCCTTAAGCGGTTGAAAGACCAATCTTGACCGCTCCAACAGATACGTCCTGATTTTGGCGCCGATGATGTTGGTCTCCTTGTCAAACATGATTTCGATGTACTTGCCGAAGCGCGATGAGTTGTCGTTCCTGGTCGTCTTTGCGTTTCCGAAAGCTTCCATGATGGGATTTGTGGCAAGGATGGCCTCTTCCGTCTTGCTCATGGCCTCGGGGCCCTTCTTCGCCCTCGAGCCCGGCGTGTCGGGGGATCCTCTTGTCGCGAAGTATCTCATAATGTACTTGGCGCTGACAGTCTTGCCGGCACCGGACTCACCCGAAACGACAACAGTTTGGTTCTTGCCGTCACGCAACATGTCCCTGCGGAATGGTTAGCAACAGCCCCAACCCCGCGGGGATTCCAGAGCCCGCAGCCGGGGCAGAACCATACATGAAGGCCTCCTCGGCAATAGCGAAAAGATGGGGCGCTTGTGTAGCCCTCTGTTTCCCTGCATATACCTGGACCATACCCGGAACATAGAGCGAGTCGACCCGGGCGAAGGGGTTGGTCGCTATTAGCACGATACCTGAGTATGTGTAGATTTCTTTCTGGAGGTATCGGAGACGGATGGCCTGCAGGACTAGTTGGCGCCAAGCCGGTCAGTATCTCGTGTGTCCCAACAACCGGGTAAGGACGGGTCTGGTCTACCGGCAGGTTCGTTGAGATGCGAGAGGTTCGTGAGGTCATCGCTAGCTTCGAGCATGGTCGGGTTCATGAGAGGCGGTAGCGACGGGTCGTTCCCTGACTGGAGAGCCTCCAAAGAGACCTCCAGCTTTTTGGTCTACAGCATGAGAGAGAGAGAGACCTGGTCAACGATCTGAACCAGGTGCGGCGCAAAGCATAGACAGCGTACCTCGCCATTTTCTAGTTGAAACTCGAGGGAGACTTTTGACCCGTCTACCGTCTTCTTGATCACCTCGGACGCAACCCAGCCCTCGGTCGCGTCGGGCTGCCACGCTCTGGTGCCGACATCATAGCTCTCCGACATTGGACGCGATTGGGGGTTGTGCAATGGGATAGGCGGTGGAGGAGGAGCGAATTCGTGGTATTGACGGCTTCAAGAGCCAGCTGTCGTCGTGGTCGGCCAGCAGAAAAGTCGGCGCCGTGGTCAGGAATGCGAGGCGGATCGCAGTCTGTCGGACGGCGGTGCAGCTGGAAGGAGATGCAAGATGTGGGATGGGAGTGGGTGGATGCGCTGGCTGCTTGGCGAAGGCATTCATGAAAGGGCCGGGAACGTTTTGGTAACAATGTAAATTTCGGCGGTAATCCCGTCTCCGCTCTCGCAAGACGGCGTCGCCAACCTCATTCAAACAGCTTCAAGAAGGTGGGTGGTTGGGGAACAGAACAAGCGAGAAGCGAATGGAGCTCCCAGAAAAAAAAAAAGATTACAGAATATCGGGAAGGCGGCCGTTCATGCTCAGGGGTTGGGGGAAAACAGAGATGCCATGGGGGTGCTGTAAGTTGAGCGTTGATAGGTGAGCTGGGTGTAACAATCCGTAAAGCGGGTGCAAAAGCACGGACTCTGGGGGTTGGGTTACAGCGGACAGGCCAAGGTGGAGGTTGAACGGGTGTGAGCACCCGACGCAACTCAACTTCATGTGCTGCTACGTTGAAGTTGGGCGATGTCTGTCGGGCGGCTGGGCAACAGAGAAACTTTTGTCGTTGAAACATCTGCAAGCCAACGGGACGGCAATGTACGATTTCCCGTTCGATTCATGGTCTTGGAGCAAGAGGAACGCTCACAGATCATTTTCATCCCGTCTTCTATGATCCTTGACTCGCTCAGTTATGCGCTATCCCCGGGGCTCCACGGACTACCTGCACCTGCACCTGCACCTCCACCCCTTTCTTTCTGATCACGGAGAGGTTTTGTAGTTGCTGTAGTTAATCTGTACATAATAAGACAAGACTAGCCTGCAGAATGTGAGAAAGCGGCATTAAAGCCCAACTTGTTACTTCTTTGCATCGTAGCAATTCCCCAATGACAGCAATCAGAAAGCCAGAGAAAGAAAGATCCAAGAGCGGGGGTTGAGAAGCAGGGGTCTGCCAGAGTGGGGCGTCCTCCGCTTGATCCCCAACCATGTGGGAATTTCCATCTCACCGCCCAGCAATTCCATCCCACCATTTGCCAAGACCACCCGACTCTCGCAGGCGACCAGGGTTCACAGCGAGACAACGGTTCCTTTCAACTTCATCCACAGGGTGTCGACCAGAAAAGAAAAAGACAAAAACTCATAGCTGTACTAACTTTTAGAAATCTACACCGGATACTCAATTCTATAATTTTGACATCTCTAGTGGGATGCGTATTCTCGCCTGTCTGCAAGCCCCTGAAAAATCCCCACCAGACCGGGGAATTCTCTGTGGCCCGTTTCAGGAGGTGCAGCACGTCCCCTCTCACCTTCGGCCCGAGACAGCATGGGGACAGGATCTCGGGAAACACAATCAACCACGCAGGAAGAGACTCGAGACTCGAGAGACCGCTTCGAAAGAGATATATATTTTGCCCGGTGCCCGTTATATGCAAAAGTCCTACTCGCTGTATGGTTGAGCCAAGTTTTAGTTACCGTCTGCGCAGGCAGAACACAAGTTCTATGTTGAAGCAAAACAAACAAGCCGAACATGTTGAACTTCTTCCGTCCATTTCAGGACGCCCAACAACAACAACATCGGCTAGTCAGCTCGCAATGTAGTTATTTCCAAAACCCTCTCTCTATCTTCTCCTCTCTGTCGCGCGCGCCGGCCTGTCTTCTAGTACAGGACGCGCGTCATGATGCGCGAGTTGAGCGAGTCCAGGCTGTCCCGGATGTCCTTGATATCCTGGGTCTTGACATCACTAACGTCAGCCATCAGGTACGCAATGTCGCCCTTGCTGTCCGAGATCTGCTTGTCGACGTTGTGCTCGGCCAGGATCTCGTTGACCTTGCGCAGCACGCCGGGCACGTTGCGGTGGATGTAGATGACGCGCGCGTGGTCGTGCTCCTCGAGCGTTATCGAGCGCATCGTCACCTCGGGCAGGTTGACGCTGGCCAGCGTGATGCCCTGGTTGATGTACCGCACCAGCGAGTCGGCCACCTCCACGCCGATCGCCCGCTGCGCCTCCTCGGTGCTGCCGCCGATGTGCGGCGTGAGGATGATGTTGTTGAGCCCGCGCAGGTCCTCGGCCCACGTGTTGAGGTTGTTGACAAAGTAGTCGCCGTTAGCTGCCGGCTCGTTGGGGTACACGTCCAGCGCCGCACCGGCCACCTTGCCCGCGCGCATCGCCTTGATGAGGGCCGGGATGTCGACGACAGTGCCGCGGCTGGCGTTGATGAGGTACGAGCCTGTCTTCATGCTCTCGAATTCCTTGGTGGAGATGAGGTTCTTGGTTTCGGGTGTCTCCGGGACGTGGAGGGTCACAAAATCGGCCTCTTCTAGGAGTTTCTCGAGCGTGGGCACTTGGCGCGCCGAGCCGATAGCCATTAGGGTGAGGACGTCGTAGTAGATGACCGACATTCCCATGGCCTCGGCGAGAACTGATAGCTGCGAGCCGATGTGGCCGTAGCCGATGATACCGAGCGTCTTGCCGCGGATCTCCCAGCACTTGGCGCTCACCTTGTTCCAGGTGCCGCGGTGCATTTCCAGCGAGCGGTCACCCAGCTGGCGGGCGAGCGTGATGATCTCAGCAATAACCAGCTCCGCAACGCTGCGGGAGTTGGCAAAGGGCGAGTTGAAGACGGCAATACCATGCTTGGCCGCATAGTCCAGGTCTACCTGGTTGGTGCCGATGCAGAAGCAGCCGACGACGAGGAGGTTCTTGGCCTCTTGAAGAACCTTGGCTGTGAGTTTTGTCTTTGATCGGATGCCAATGACATGTACTTCCCTGCGCGGGCGTGAGTCTTGAGCTTATTTCAGGGGCAAAACCCAGCTCCGAATACGGAACAGAAAAGACTCACCTGATCTTCTCAATGAGCTGGTCCTCTGGCAACGAAGTCTTGAGAAATTCGACCTGGTAGCCCTGAGCCGCGAGGATATCTCGTCCGGTCTGGTTCACATTCTCCAGAAGTAGGATTTTGATGTCCCCGGCGTTGAAGGGCTTGAGCTGCTTGGCCGTAGCGGCGGTTCTGTTGGCGAAAGAGCCCGCCATGAAGCTGCCCTGGCTTGCTGGAGGCGAAGAGAAGGCTGCGGTGGGGGATGCGGCTTCGAGGCTGTATGAAACGGTGTTGCCAAGCGAGGAACGCGAAATGTCTCTTGGAGTCGTCATGGTGAAGAAGCCGGAACTGAGGTAGGAAGATGGCCAATATTTTATATTTGCTCTCTCGCTGGGTCGATGTGTCAAAGGGCTGTGGATGCTTGTCACAGAAGACCCCACGGTGGGATGTTATGGTGGGGTTGTGGTTTTATAGCGGGGTTGAGTCACTGCAAGGAAAATCTTTCTGGATGACGGAATTCCATTACACGCCGCTGACTCCTCTCATCCACCTACCCACGGCCTGCTCTTATTAACCGCCGTTGTATTTTTACCGCTATCCTACCCATGGCCTTGGGTGGCCATTCAGCTGGCTTACTGCCTCATTCGAAGTATCCCCAGTGCTGGGTCTGTTTGTGAAGTGAAATCAAGCTCCTCTAATATCGAAATGCGTAAAAAACAGGAAGTTATACACAATGACTACCTCGCATATTTTGGGAAACTAGGATATCGCGGCAAGGGAGGGAGCTGTTCCTCAATGTGTCACCTTGCTGTGCAATTAATTATATCCCGATTGTTGGGATTAGGTTTCAGGTTACACGTTTATTCGGGGGAAACTCCGAACCGGAGCACTGGGTTCCCAGCCACCGATTCCGGAGTCACTGTGCTGTTGTCACTTCACATGCGCCACTCACGAGTATCTGGGTTAAACTCGTGTAATGCACTGCTCTGGATACTGCGATCGAATACTCAGCACTGCGGCCTCTGTTCCCATTGCCGAAACTTCCCACCAAGCAGACGCTTGTCATGCCCATGTGCGGTTCCCTTTTTAGTACCATCTATGCCATCGCTGGGAAAATCGCCAAGCAGGGCGCAAAGTCAAACTCCCTCGGATAGCTTTGATATAGAAAACAACCAAACTTTGATGCAAGTGGGCAGGTTCCGACGCCCTCCTCATATTAGGATCTGTCCCCCCTTAGCTACGTGTACAGCCTCGCATGTGCATCAAAGCCAAAGCCCGTCCCCGATGTGCCGTGTGCAATGGGGGATTATGTGTGATAAGGCCCAAATAACGGACCCGCGGGCTCGATGCCTCGATTAAGAACAACGGTAAGTTGTCGCGGTGAAGAGGTGACCATTTAGCTCTGCTTGCACTCAGTCGGCTCCTGCTTGGGCTTGGTGCCGTCATCCTGAAGAAAAAAAAAGGTTAGCACAGAGTTTTGGGGGAGGTTCCGGAGTTCTCACCTCTTCCTCCTCCGACTCCTCCTCGTCGTCATGGTCGTCGCTGGCATCATCGTCATCCTCATCTTCATCGTCGTCCTCATCGAAGTCTCCAAGGTCGTCCTCATCAAGCTCCTCAAAAGCAAGAGCCTCGCCGGTGAACCAGTCGATCGCCCGGGGAATGAGCTTCTCCTTGATGTCCTCGCCGAGCTGGTAGTCAAGCTCCAGACGCTCCTCAATATCGGAGGCGGCATCGTCATCCTCGTCGTTCGGGGCCTTGGGAGGGGAGAAGAAGTTGAAGAAAGACTCGGTAGGCACAGTCTTCTTAACAATGCGGGTCTGCTTAGTGGCTTGTGTGTGTTAGCGGCTGTGCCCCCCTGTGAATGGCTCGACAAACAAAACTCACTCTTGTTCCGCTGCTTCTTCTGCTCGATGCGGACAGTCAAGTCCTGGCCGGCCTTCCAATCAATCTTGTCACCATCGGCGTGATCATAAATGAAATCACCGCCATAGCTACTCTCGTTTTGGTAGTAGTACGTCTTGGTGATGATCTTGTTGGTGAAGTACTCGTTATCGGCGAACTCGAAGATGAGGCGGAAGCCGGGCTTGTCGAGGTACTCCATCCGAATGTCGATTAGTGACTTGAGGGCACCTTCATCACGGTCGGTAATCATCTCAGCCAATGAGATCTGGTTCTTCATGGCCGAGAGCCAGAACTCAGGAATACCCGAAACCTTCTCGGCACTCTCGGCGGGCTTCTCCTCCTTGATGGCAGCACCCTCCTCCTCTTCCTCATCCTCCTCGCCAGCTTCAACCTGGTCATCGGTGGGCTCGGTCTTGCCATTTACAATGGCAGAGCGCTGCTCGTACAGAGGAGTGAACTTGGCAAAATACTTCTTCTCAAGTTGCAGGACCTCCTCTTGGAACTCAGCCTCCAGCTTGGAGTGATCCTTCTGGATGCCCTTGAGGCCAGCGACACGGCGCTTAACCTCAGAGGGGAGTGACTCGATGTATCCGGACGACCGGCCGACAAGGGAACCGAGACGGCCCTGAATCAGCGATACAAGGTGGGGGTCTTTGGCAAAAATGGAGGCGGCGGTAAGTTCCTCGGCTGTTATCAAGCAGTCAGTACATGGGTGCCAGATGGGTCCCGTTGGGCAGCAGACGGCCGCTAACGACTAACCTTCCTTGATGCTGGAAACACCCGGCTGCTGGGCATGCGACGAGATGGGAGCAGCATTTGCAGGTGTGTTCTGAGGGGTGCTGGAATGAACCTAGGTCAGCATCGTGTTTATCAGAAGCGGCAGCGTGCGACCGGTGATGTTTTCAGGCTGTCGCTGCCAAGCGGGGACGTACGGAGCAGCGGGGTCGGGCCGCTTGTTCTTGATGGGTTCGGCCATGGCGACGATTGTTCTGTCGACAAGGCGATGGTTTCTGGGATGGTCGGGGTGTGAATTTGGATACGCCAAAGTCGATCGGCGGTGACGCGAAGGGAGAAGTCGTAAAAAATTAGGAACGATGGAGGGTCCGTGACTTCCCTTGTGCTCAGAAATGTTGAGGGAGGGGAAAAGCTGTGCTGGGGCGCTTTAAGAAAATTTGCGGGGCAGTGGTGGCTTGTGCAGAACGCTCGAGGCAGCATGGGGTCCCTTCCGCCCGGAACTTTTTTTGTTTCGTTACGCTCGGTGAATCTTCGATGGCAACATGTGCCAGCGTTCGCCCATCCTATCCTTCCTATGGTCGGGCCTTTCGTGCCTCAACTCCAGGTCACATCCGACGAACCCATCCGCCACAGTCCAAGTTGACGTGGCACTCCTGTCCCCTACCTAACTAACAATATTCGGCCTCTTTTTAGTTGGTTGCCTAAAGTAGAAGTGTCGAGGATAACAAACCCTTCACCGCTTTACATTGTTTGGCCTTGACAAGGTTGATAGTCATCGCGGTTCGGCACCCACTTGAACCGTGAAGGTTTCAGGGATCAGCGATTTTTCCTTGCTTCTGGTCCCACCTGTCATGGATACCTCTGGCTCCTTGGGCCTCGAACACTCGCCATCAAAGCGCCTTGGCACTGAATGAAGAATGGGTCTTTTGTTCGTCTCCAGGACCATTCGCATGCCAGGCTCAAGACCACATGGGTGCTCTGAGACTGGTTATCGGCTCTCGTCTTCAATATCTCAGTACACAGTACAACGACCCAGCATCACAAGCAACCGTTTAAATGCAAATATCTTATGTTTCTAACGCATATTATCGCTGGTGATGGTGCTCTATCCATCAGCGTAGCTATTTAAAATTATAGTTACAGTTTACATATCTCAACTGGGATTTCAAGGCCACCATTGGTTCACCGTTCTCGGGCATCTGATGCAGAATGTGCGGCTTCACTCCTGGAGCCAATGCACGAGTGTGTCGACGCTAGCGGAGAATAGGTTACCCGATATCACCCATGTGAAACCTGCCTGGTGATAGCATTTCGCTTGGGCATCATGTGCTACAGTAGCGCCATAACTATACAATTAGGTATATTAAATGATAAGGTGCCTTCGTAAGGTCTTCAACCGTCTATAATCCCAACGCTATGTTATAATACAAACCAAACCAGTGCCGCTTACGCCGCAATAGACTCTATGGGTTTTAAAACACCATTTGCTCCTGAACCACCTTGTACTGTTTCCGTGTCTTCTTCTGCCCAAGCAAATTCAACTTCGTCTTTCCAACGAAACGCGCGAGCCTTTGGAACATTATATGCTCCCCAGCCCACGACAAAGCAAAATAGGCCATCCCGAGCCCAACAATCCCAGCCTTGAAATCCCAGCTTACATATGTAAATTGCATGATTTTGAACAGCCACGCTGGTGGATATAGCACCATCACCAACGTCATGCAAAGAGTGGTGGCAATGGTTGCCACGAATGGCCCTGGCATCGCGTTAGCTAAAAACATAAGCCGTGGTGCAAGGAGAGGGTAACGTACAGTTATGCAACGCAGAGCGTCTGAATGGCCGGCCAGCGTTGAGTACAACCCCAGACAGAATGTACTCAAAACATGAAATCAGGAACAGCGCGGTGTTTTCCGAGTTTTCGATGTGCGAGTGATCATGGTCAATGATGGGCGGAATGAACCACGGTTGCTTGCGGACGGCGACAAACACCAGCGCCTGAATCGCAATGCAGATGGAGATCTGGCCCAACAACGGGATGAGCACCTTGCGTGAGACCAAGTCTGCCGTCGGCTTCTTGCGGCAGAGTTCCGGGAACGGGCCCGCCCAGCTCATAAACACGGCGATGGGTAGGATGAGGGCCAAGTCGATGAACAGAAACTGGAAATCGCCGAGGTTCGAGGCCGAGGCGTAGAGGAAGCTGACCGAGGTAAACTGGATAGCCGAGTACAGGCTCATGTACTTGAAGCAGCTGAAGCTGGTAACTAGTGCCGCTCGGCCCTCCCGGATCACCTCGGGCACGCAACGGATGTCGAACACTCGAGACGTAAAAGGAGCGGCAACAGATGCCTCGGCCTCCGAAAGCGAAATGCCCACGTCGGCAGCTTTGAGCGCACCACAATCGTTCGCACCATCGCCACAGAAGCCGCACGAATAATCGATGCTTTGCAGCTTCTCGACGAGCTCGTGCTTCTCGTCAGGAGACATACGGGCAAAGACCTTGCCTGTAACGAGCATCTTCCGCAACACTTCCGGTGGCGCATGGTCAACAACCCAGCGGAAGACGTCGCCGCTGACAGCAATCGAGTAGTTGCGTATGTTGGAAATGTCGTACGGCAGTGAAGCATCCGACTCCACAGGAGCCGGCAGGGGGATTAGGGTTTTGGCGTTCAACTGATAAGCTTGGTTGTCGACACTTTCCCACTGCAGGCTGGCGTTGGGGTCCCTCGCGTCCCCAGTGAGGAAACGAGGAATATAACAGTGGGCCGTCTTGTTGATCATGCCGCACTCCCTTGCCACGCTAATGGCGGTTAGAATATTATCGCCGGTCACCATGACGGTCCCGATGTTAGAGTCGGCAAGCTCCTTGAGGACATTAGCCGTCGTGGGTTTCAGCTTGTTTTCGAAAATGATGAAGCCAACGAGATCGAGATCGGACTCGACAACGTCCCGTTTCATCTTTTGGGCTTTGACCCAGCTTAGCTTCTTGATGTGCTTGGTTGCGCATGCGATCACCCGGTAACCCTTATGCGTATACTGGGATAGGAGGTCCTCGTAGTCGGCAGGGACTATATAGCGTTAGAGACCACCTCTATTGACATGGAATGAACTGAGGACTTACATGTTTCCGGTCGACAGATGCCACGCATGCTCTCCGGTGCTCCCTTGACATAAACATCTCCGCTCGGGCGACCAAAGGCCCTGACAATAACGCTGGCCCGCCGCAGTTCGGAGACGAATTCGAAAGAGTTAAGGATGCCGAGCTCAAGAGGAACCTAGCAAATGTTAGGGGCTGAAAATGAAGAAGTCTGAGTATAATGCTGCTCACGTTTTGGCTTAAGTCCTGACCCACGCCGTTTGTTTGATGTTTAGGCCCTGTTGGTGGCCTGGCTACTGCGGGCTGAAGGCTGCTTTGCTCTTCGTCGTCGGCATTGCCGCCTCCCATGTTGCCTTCATCATACGACCATCCCGTAAATTCGAACATTTTGAGGTCAAGCGGGTCTCCGACTGGCTCATTGTCTACGATACGCAGTGAGTGACAGGTTGCCATCGTGTGCAACGCCGCCATTCGCGTGTCAGTATGGTCCATGTCCCCCGAAGATTCGCTGTTATCTAAGGCGAGGTCGTGGGGACCGGTTAGGAGACTGGTAAACCGATTCTCAGCCCGCGAAACAACGCGCACTCCAAGAATATCAAGCCCCTCTTCTGTTAGGGTCCCAGTCTTATCGAAGCACATCAGGTCGAGCTTTCCCCCCACATTTACCCTCTGCGGGCTGATGCAAAATATCTGCTTCGCTTTGAGCCGCCTAAGGGCGAAAGTGGTACCGATAGTCAGGGTCGCCGGCAAAGCGGGAGGAACCACAATGGTGATGAGGTCGAGGGCGCGGATGATAATCAGATGCCACTCTAGCCCGAGTCTGATGAAGTTGATCAGTGACGCGGTAAACCCGAGCAACGCCACGCACGCCATGACTGAAATGTATCGAAACGAGTCCCTGTAAAACTTGAAGCCAGAGGGCTTGGGGAAAAGCATGGAGCGGACCAAGGCGCCTTTAGTTGTGTTGAAACCTGTCCGGACGACCATGGCGAGCGCTACAGCTTCTCCATCCCCATTTTCCTGCGGCCGTCGGGCACGTACAATCTTGGTCCCACAGAACAAGAAGTTCTTTGCAACCTCCGGAGGCATAGTGGAGGCCGACAAGTCCAGGCTTGAAAGCGTCCGGTCGGTTGCTGGGATTTTCGAGACGGGGACGGATTCGCCAGTGAGCATGCTTTCGTTAACGATGCAATCGCCACTGAGAAGAAGACTGTCCGCTGGAAATTGGCCAAGACTCGGATCGCTAACTTCGTAAACGTCGCCCGGGACGAGATCACTCGAGGGGATGTTCCGCCCTGACTGATGTCAGAGGATAACTCTTCGAGTGAGGAATTAAAAACATACAAAAGCCGTTTCGAAGGACTCTGACATCACAAACAAAACGAGAGATCTCGCGGAGCCTTTTCATCGTCTTGTCCCGTTAGTTATTGGCTTCTGTGACGGGAGGCGGTGGTAAAACTTACAGATTTAGTCTCGATCAGATTTGTCGTGATACTACCCACAGATATGACGAAGATTGCGATGGCGTAATAGTAATACTCGTCAAGGGACCACAGGATGAGACTGGCGATTTGGAAAACGTAGAAGGGGTGAAACACCTACATGCAATCGGTTAGCCCTGTCCACTCCGTAACTTTCGGTGGAAAACTTACCTCATCCACCAGGAGCCGGAACCACGACTTTTGCTCGATATCAATAAGGTTATCGCCAAAGACAACATCGCGGTGCGTCTTTTCCTCGCTGTCGATACCGGCACGTATTTCTCGAATGTTTAACCAGAGGGGATCCTTCCATCCGGTACATAGCATTAACTTGTCCTTGACGGGATGGAAGAAAAGTCTGACATATCGGTAGTCGATCATTCGAAGATCCCGGATGATGGGATCATGTTCCTCTCCCATGGCGTATGACCCCTTTTTCGTAGGGGATCCGAAGACGGTCGACAATGACCTCCCGTACGGACGTGAGTTGACATCCACTATCGCCATCTCATTCCACTGATTCTCGACGACCACCCATTGGCAGTCGCGTAGGGGTGCCGTCTTGCCGATCAACTTGACATGCCATCTAGGCAACCAGCGGAACAAGAGCCAAGCCACGCCACCGGTCACGAGACACAGCAGGCAGTAGATGACAAATCCGAAGCGGCTGGTCCGAAAACCCGCAATGGCGATGTAAAGGTCCTCGTTCTCCATGTACAGCTTCTGGTTATGGCGGTTGGCGATGTAGCCGCTGCCAGCTGACACACCGCTGTCGCGTCGAAGGAGTCTGTGGTGAACGGAGTCCCTCGATTGCGTCGACATTCTGCGGAGGAAGGTGTGGTCACCATAGGCGGCGTTGGGCTCCAGGTCGGCGGAATCGTCCAGTTCTCCGAAGTCGTCTTCAAAAGGTAGTTCCTCGAGATCGTCTATGGATGGTCGCCCATCACTAGGCGCAAAAGGCTCTTCAGGTTCCTCTGGTTCGTCTTCGTCTTGGTAGAAAGAGAAGCTGGTTGTTGAATCTGCACGCGTTCGACGGTGATTGAAGGCAGAGACGGATGTAGGAAGGGATTCGGCGACAGGACCAGCGAAGAGCTGCAGCCTGAAATGTCAGAGATTTTCACTGCCTGTGCGCAGAAATCACTGACCTCGTCATGTGCCATCTCGACGTTCTCGAAGATACTAGATCTGCTCCTATTTATCGATTGGCGATAAAAAGGACCGCCCTCAATTTCTCCATCATCGTATTGATCCATGTTGCCGGAGCGAGAAATTAAGAAAAAAGAGTGAAAAGAAAAAAAAAATAGACAAAAGAAACCGAGTCAAATAAAAAGTAGGCTTTGGGTCACCGAATGGCTTTCTTTCCTCCTCTAGGCGAACGTTTCGTCGGCTAGCGTTTCGTCAGCGAACGGAGGCTGCATCGTAGATAACTTCGGGAAAACAACACAGAACGGCGGGGAAGAACACAGAACTGCGGGAAGAACATAGAACCTAAAGGGGAGGACGTGGAACTGAACCAATTGTCAATGCGCTGGTTCACGGTCCTCCAACAGTCGATAATCGGAGAACCATGGAGTTGACGGAGAAACAAGTGACGTCGGTTATGCCAAGCAGCAAACCCCGGTAGGTGCATTGCTGCTTGGAATATTGGAATACGGGGATTGCACGGACCTGCCGAGTAAAAAAAAAAGCCAAGCCTGAAAGGGGAGCAAGAAATCAAGAAAAGAGAAAAGTAAAGAAAACCGAGCAGAATGAATTAAAACAAAAAAAAGAATTATTAAAAAGTAAAAAGTGCACTTTGGGCTCGAATAGCTTTCCCTTCATCCCTCTAGTCGAAGGTTTCGGCGGCACCTACACTTTTTGGCCAGAGAGTGACTCCCCAACCCACGACAAGGCAAAAGAGGTAGTTACCTGAGGCACAGGGCTGACACAAGAGAAAATCCCCCGGTCGGGAGGTTGCGCACACCCCAAGGCAAACTTTAGCCAACTACAGTAATTGCAATCCCCCAGTATACAAACATCCTGAGAACACAGTATTATCTAAAGCCTAAAAGTTCGTTGTAGTCAGTTGCGCCCAGTTTGATGCAGTCAGTCGCACGCAGTTTGTTACGGCCAGTTTGAAGTCTGTCTGTATCAAACTGACTAACAAAACTGGGTACCACTGGTTGCAATGGACTGCTGGCGTGGATTAACAGGTACCCATATCAAACTGGCTGCAACAAGCTGGGTGCAATTGACTGTACTTGAATAGGTATATGTAGCCGACTGTATTGACAATTACCTAAACGGGTGTTGGGATTAAAGACGACGGTTGCAAAAGGCGTGGTGCCAGGTGTGCGCATATTGCAAATTTGGGGTTTTCTCCAGTGCCAGCCTTGAGCCTCTATAAACTACTTAGCTACATGTATCCCAACCTTGAAACCACAGCTTACATACCTGCGAACTGAGTGCCTGGTTTTAAATACCTAACTATGCTGGTGGATACAACGCTATCCCGAGCCCAACAATCCTAACCTTGAACTCCCAGCTCACATATGTAAACTGCATGACTTTGAACAACCACGTTGGTGGATTTAGCACCATCACCAACGTCATGCAGAGAGTGGTGGCAATGGTTGCAACGAAAGGCCCTATCATCGCCTTAGAAACATAAGCTGTGACTACGGTGCATGTTTACGGGGATGTTGGTAGGCGGCTTCGGGTTCGATGGTCTTGGGACTGGCGATTGAAGGTGACAGTTCGCGGGGAGATCGATGCCCTTGGGAATTCGGGAGATGGTGTGTCTATGTCCACGGGTTTGTTGAGAGGAGGTTTCTGGCTCCACTGTTACTGACCGGGCTGGGCTTAGAAGTTACCGTTTGCGAGCGCGCCGAATGTTCGCGAGGATTTCGACGGCCTTGGGGATTCGGGAGATGTGAGGTCCATGTGTGTCTGGCGTAGAGTTGTTAGCTATAGTGATGGGCCGCTGGAAGCCTGACTGCTGGGTTGCCCCAGAGTTCGGCTTATTACTCCGACGGTGGTACACTACCATGCCATATGGATGTTAATTCGATTGTGGCTGTTTGTTTCTGCCACGGTGTTGTTGGCGGATTGGTTCGTCGAATGAACTTGTAGTTTCCGAATGTTCTTTGATGATTTAGGCTTCGTTCCTCTGGTCGAAGGTTTCGTTAGCATCGACTTTAGAGTTCACCTTTCCCAATGCGGTACACTACCGTATTATAAATGTCAATTTTATTGTGCTGCTTGTTCCTGCCTTGGTGCTTAGCGGCGCAAGGCGGGCATCCACGAGCCGGGTGATGTTAGTTCACAGCAACGAGCCTTTTCTCTTCACAAGTTTAAGTGGCTAATTTTTATGAAGCCGTTCCTTACTCTAAGCCATAGAGCTATTACCTTCAGAAGTAAGAGCGCTTGATCAGCTTGGCGGAAGAAGCGGGCTCGAGATCGAGCGGATTAGGGGTTCTAAGTCGGCAACGTACCGCTAGCCTCCCACTCACTGGCATGAAGCTGCTCTTTTTCTTGAAGTCGGGTGATATTAGCTTAAGGGGTGAGCCACCAATCGCTTTTCAGACTTGGAACGGGGCGCTAAAGTGTAAATCGGCTGTATCGTTGGAGGATCGGTCGGCCGAATTCAATCTGCCTCAGCCATTTTGCATTTAAACAGTTGCTTGATGATGTCCGGGTCATAACCCACAGGCACAAACTAAATCTCAGCATAAATCTTCACACGAATCTCTGAAGACAAGTCGTGCTGCAACAAGCAAACGGAAAACAAACGCGGTCAAAAATTGTAAGATAGGGGATCTGATCCCATGGGATTAGTCCACTGCCCATGTGGCTCGTGACCGTCGTGGTCCTCAACCCTGGTCTGGAGAGTAACGGAAATGGGAGTACCCCATACAGAAAAAATCTGATACGAAGCGAGACTTGAACCAGCTTGAAGTGCTTGTCTTGAACGGGTCATCCGATCGGTAAGGATCAGGTTACCGCCGAGCCCTTCCACCAAGAACAATCCAACAAGGCCTCCTTCATCCTCTCAGCTGGCTCTGGTGTTAGTAAGGGAGTCGATGGAAAGTCCCAAAACTCGAGTGAATTGCCAAATTCGTGGGCGCCATTGTAGCTGAGCTGGCAACATGTTGCGTAGATGGTCTCGAGAGTGCGTCGTATTGGGGGTAATATGTACAATGCTCCCCCAGTTAAACTCCTCCGCAGTCTATCCTCTTCGGTTCCGTCTCTAGTGCTCCCAAGGATGCTTCCAGCCAAGGAGGACCGGCCCTGTGAGGTTGGGTTAGTTTCTGGTCGATTGAGCGACTTGTCGGGTTGGTTGGTAGTACCGTCTTTCTTGGCCCGGTAAAAGATCTGTGACGGATCCAGTCAGCTTCTTCTCGGAGTTATTTCTAACAGAGCCCCGACGTACCCAAAACCACATTGATGCGCCCAGGCCAGTGGCCATGAAGCGGTAGATCGGCCGAACGGGGGGTCCTGCACCGGCCATTGTGCGCGATTCTTCCTCTGGAGATGGGACTGTCAGGAACAAATGGGTGTGGCCGAAGGAGCAGACTTGTACGGACCCTTTCCCGCGTCGGATTGGAGGTGTGCACGGGTGATGTGTCGAGTGTTCGCCGCGATTGAGCAAGGTGCGTTCAAGATTCGAGGTTGGCAGCTGCCGAAGCTGGTGGGACACACTCGGCCGGGGTTGGGGTACGTACCTAACTGAGCCGCAAGCTCCAAGGGTACCATGGCATGAAGCTGGTCCGTGCACCGCAGCAATGTCCAGCAAGCCAAGTGCTGGGCTTGGCGCATCAATCATTCGCCTGCCGCCGTCGCGCTGTTCGTTCTTCACACCTCCCTACCTCGATTTCGTCTGGACTTTTGAAGCCTGGGGTCATATTGTGTTCCAGCTTCAAAAGAATCACAATAGTCCCTTACTTTGCCATGTCACTTATTATTCCCCGTTGAGAGGCCCACGCTTCCGCTTTCCACCTCAACACATTACGCTTCTTTATTTCTCGGTCAGCGCTCCGTCAAACTCGCGTCGCATTGGACCTTCATCAGAACACAACCATCTCGAGCAGCGGTCACAAATCTATTGTGATCTTGGTGGTTCAAAAGCAATCATGGGCATTCTCGACTCCGGGAAACCGGCCGCTGCGGCCTCCCCTCGCAGTTTTGCCGTTGCCCACTTACGGCCGAGGAATAGCTTTACCGGATGCTCACGAATCACTGATTATGAGGTCCTGGGCAAGCTCGGTGAGGGTACTTTCGGGTGAGCATTTGCACCATTTCTGGTGATTGGCCTATCTACTCACACTCGCTGCTAGTGAGGTTCATCGGGCGAGGTCCAAGAAGACTGGCGCCTTAGTTGCGCTGAAGAAGATCATCATGCATAACGAAAAGGATGGTGTTAGTACTACTATATACTTACCTCCCCCGTCCGGATCTTACAACTAATGTCTTCTCAGTTCCCCATCACGGCACTCCGAGAAATCAAGTTGCTGAAACTCCTCTCTCACGTTAATGTCCTGCGCCTGGAAGAGATGGCGGTTGAACACCCAGCTCGGAGCAGCAAGTTCACCTCCCGTGGGACTGCCGTTGCAACCAGTCTGCTAACTCACCGCCAGCCGACAAGCGGAAGAAGCCGATCATGTACATGGTGACGCCCTATATGGACCACGATCTTTCAGGCTTGCTCGACAACCCCTCGGTGCACTTCACGGAGCCGCAAATCAAGTGCTACATGCTCCAGCTCCTGGAGGGCCTCAAGTACCTCCACGAGAACCATATTCTGCACAGAGATATGAAGGCTGCCAACCTTTTGATCGACAACAAAGGCATCCTCCAGATTGCAGACTTCGGCCCTTGCAAGGCACTACGAGGGAGAGGTCCCAAAGCCTGGTAAAGGTGGTGGGGAAGGGCGGCGCGATTACACAAGCTTAGTCGTGACTCGCTGGTACCGGCCTCCCGAGCTGCTGATGCACCTAAAACGATATACCACAGCAATTGACATGTGGGGCGTGGGGTAAACACCTCGAGCCATCCCAACTACCCGGCATTGGCTAACATTGATTTGATAGATGTGTATTTGGCGAGATGCTCGTAGGCAAGCCGATCCTTGCCGGGGAGAGTGATGGCCACCAGCTCGAGATCATCTTTGAACTTTGTGGAACACCCACAGACGAAAACATGCCCGGTTGGCGGTCACTGCCCGGAGCCGAGGCCCTGCAACCTCGACCCAGGCAGGGGAATCTATCACAGCGGTTCCGAGAATACGGATCGGGAGCCGTGTCACTTCTTAGAGAGCTCCTCAGGCTCGACTGGCGAAGCCGCGTCAACGCCATTGACGCCCTCAAACATCCCTATTTCCAAACCACACCATTACCAGCGAAACCCCACGAACTTCCGTCCTTCGAAGAGAGCCACGAACTGGATCGGAGGAAGTTTCACGATAGGAGAGCAGCGCTGCCACCGGCCCCCAAGGGCGGCACAGTCGGCCGCGGCCCCCACGATGGGCCCAACGCCTCCTTCAGCAGCGACGGCTTCGGCAGCAGGAACGGCGTCAACAGCGGCCGCTACCCGCGCGGCAGCCGCGGACCGGAGGAGCGTGTGCCCGCGTGGCACCGAGACCGTGGCCTACCCCCCCGCCCACCGCCGCCCAGCGATCCCGACCACCCGGACGGCTACCGCGACAGGGGCAGCGGGAGACCACGCGGTGGAGGCGGAGGCCGGCCAGACGTCGACACCTACATCCCCAGCTACGACCGCGACGCACCGAGGCGGGACGACCGGCGGCGGAGGGACGACAGGGACGATCGGCGGCATGATTGGGACCGCAGGCGGGACTACGACGACCGGGCGCGCACCAGTCGGACGAGGAGTCGCAGCCGCTCGCCCGTGCGCGATCGGGAGAGGGATAGGGACAGGGACAGGGAAAGGGATAGGGACCGTGACCCGTATCGCCGGTAGGCTCTCGGTACTGGGCGACGGTGGGCGGGATTGGATGTTGGGGGTGGGGGTAGTTAGAACTGGGGCTGGGCCTAGAGAACAGGGGCGTTCACGGTTGTGTACGTGTCCAGGGACAGTGCGGTGGCTCCGTTTAGGTCGCGAGCTTGAAAGGTGGTGACTCTACGATCAGCGGCATGGCGTGGGTGTATTATATGCGGATACTTTGGTTGATATCAGGAGAGCGGAATGCAGACCGCAGATAGGTCACTAATCACGGAACACATGGGACATGGGTATTGAGGTTCCATTTCCTAAATTCCCCTTAAATAAGTGTTTGAAATTCTACCTACTTAAACAAGTGGGTGGTTATGCCTAGTCGGCGCTTTCAAGCGCTATAACCCATTCCAGCAATAATACCCCGGGGATAACCGGCGCCATCAAAACCTATTCCGTTTCGGCCGGTCGTCAGACAGCGACGACGACTCTTCATGGATGGTGTCTTCCACTCTGACTTTGGCCGACTGCTGCGTCCTATGCCGCGAGTCCCGGGACCATGTCGAGGGTCCCGTCGTTGGAGGTCCCGTCGCCTTCTTCGCCTTTGATGCAGGCTTGGGCTTTGCCTCCTTGATCGTGGGCCCGTGGAACCTCCGCGGCGGCGGGATGAGTGGCCCGGGCAGGTCTCCGCTTTCATCCGAGGACCAGGTGACGGCCGACGCGGCGTGTCGCTTCGGAGGAAAGAGTGGTTTGGTGGCAGGCTGACTCGGTCGCTTCCGCTGCCGGCGGCGCAAACAAGGGCAGATGCAACCGAGGCACCTGGCGAAAAGCACAGTTAGGCTCCCCACGAATAAACTCGCGGTTGCGCCAAGGAAGATGGCGCACGTGAGCTGGTGGTGGGTTAGCGGTTGTCTGATGTAGAAATGTTGGGCAAGAGAGAGAAGTGCCGGAGGCGGATGAAGCTGGGCTGGGACTTACATAGATGACAATTGGCTGCAAGGAGCGTGTTAGCATTTATGTTCATTCCATGGGTATATTTGTAATATCAATGGCTGGAAAATTCCACTTGCCTTGTAATCCAGGTACAGCGTCATCATCGTCCTAGGGAACCACATCACGATCTTGTATGGAATCCGGATTGGCATTGTCAGGACGCGGAAGAAGGCTTGAAAGCCCCAGAACACTAGGATGATAGGCAAACAGAGGACAGGCAATAGTGCCAGCGCGAAAAGGGTATTGAACCGAGTGGAGGGATTTTTTGGGGGGTGAGTGGTTGACCGCGATCCACGAGGCTTCTGGGAAGGTGCATTCGACTTCTCCTTCGCGGCATTCGGTTTCTTGTTCGTGACATGCAACTTCTCATTCATGCCATTCTCGACCGGCATGTATCCTACGGGAACAGGCAGGGTTGTTCGCCGCTTTCGGGCCATTTGAACGTAGCAGAGGAGATGATAATATGAGTGTGTAGGAAGATGGAAGGTGAACGTTGTTTGTCCTGGCACGACGCGCGCTCTATAGACGTCTGGCGTGGTCCAAGCCGGTCAGATGACCCCAGAAAAACCTTTAGCTAGGCTCGAGCCATTTGGGGGCCTGGATCGAGCGTGCATAGTGAGTGACTGGGATGATATCATGAGGGAATGTTTTGAAGGAGGAGATGGTAGAAGCTTCTTGGTCTGATGCTTGAGATGCAGGAATCGGAAGAATTACCTCGATACACCCATAATAACTTGGCAGTCCCACATGGATGTAACCATAACTTTCGTGGTTTGCTCGCTTTAATGTGATGAATATATTCGCAAAACTGCGACTTTCACATGAACAGCAAAAAGTATCACCTTTTGGCTAGTTTCAGCCCTCTTCAATGCAAAGACCGTCAGAATCAGTTTATTCCCCAGCCATTGCGACATAAGACTAAATACCCACACCAGACCATCGCCGACCTCACTGAGCCCATCATCACCAGTCCTGCATCGTTTGTCTCACTCATAAAACAAAACCACCCAACTCTAAAACAAACCAAAATGGATATTGACCCTCCCGCCCCCCAAAACGACCCAACAATAACAACAACGACAAACCCAGTCCCACACCCGACCTCAACACCAACGCAAACAAAACCACCCACCTCCCACACCCACACCCGCACCCTCACAACCCTCACCCTCAAATCCCCCCCCTCCGCCTACGCCCACCTCTCCCTCTCCACCCCCACAACAACCACCACCAGCAGCAACAACAACAACAACAACAACAACAACAACAACAACAACAACAACCCCGACATCCTACAACTACGCGCCTACCTAACCACCGCCCTCCGGCAATTCCTCGGCGACACCGGCGCCGCCATCCCCATCGACTTCCTGGCGGTGCGCGACGGCGGGGACGCGTGGGTGCGGGTGCCGCGGCCCGACCTGGCGGCGTTTGTGGGGGCGGTGACAGCGTTTGGGGGGATGGACATGTCCGGCGCCGGTGGTGGTGGTGGTGGTGGTGGTGGTGATGGTAATGGAGGGGAGGAAGGGGGGAGGATGGTGTTGCGGGTGGTGGCGAGCGGGGATTGGTTGGGGAGTTTGATTGGGAAGGAGGGGGAGGGGAGGCTGTGGGTTGATTGATGGGTGATTGAGATGAATAGATGGGGGAGCAGATGGGGACTGGTTTGGTTTGATTTGGGGTGGTCTATATCTCCCTATCCAGCTCGCTACATAGCTAGTATCTGGATGCGAGGCGTCTCTCTGTGCGGCGACGCACCGATGTAGGCAGACGGCTCATCTATAGCTCCCTTGCTAGCTCCTGGCATGAGATGCGCAGGGAAGCGTGGCAAGGGCCTGGCTCTGACGGGGTTTCTCGATTGCTTATAACAGCAATCTCGAGAAATATTTGACAGCCCATCTACCATCGACAGAGTAGCGCCATGCAGGGCCACCTGAAACGCTAAATCACAACAGCCCTCGTAGAGTAGGGGAGTATGCAACGACCTCTCAATCCCACAGACAGTCTCTGTTCTCGCACCGGCAGCAACGGTCTCTACATGAGCGAGGACATCACCGAGTTCTGGGCATAGGCCTGTCATCATGTTAGCATGAGAACAACTAGGACGCAATTTGGTACTCCTTACCATGGGCCGGATATTGGGGTGCGGAACAGCATCGAACTGCGTGAACTTGAGCTTGTAGTCAGGGCCGATATTGATATACGCGCCCCTGTTCTCGGTCATGTCGCAGTATTTGGGCGCCGAAAAGACTAATGCAACACCAGGTCAGTAAACATTACCCTTGGGCCAAGGTATCATTCTAAACTCGAACATACCGGTGATGCACTTCCCGTCGTGCTCCTCCTCGTAACCTCCCATCCTGACCTCATGGCTGCGGATAACCGCCTCCAGGCCGTTCTTCTCACAGAACCGCTTGGTGACGTCGGGGCCAAACTGCATGCCCACGCCGCGCTTGCTGGGGCCCCTCCCAGGCTCAGTTTGCGGGTCAGTCCACAGCATCTCCATCATTAGACCAGCTTGCCCGGGTTGCCGCTGCTTATGCCTGTCGAGTTTCCGGATGTCGTCTAACGTTACGTTGTCGTCCGAGAACAGACCGCCGTGTAGTACAAAGTACTTCTTGCCGATCAAAGTCGCTAACGGCAGGGCAGAGAAGCTTTCGGAGAACAGCTTAAAGACGCTAGGAGCCATTAGTGTGCCGTACATTGTGGTGGGGGGGGGGGGGGGGGGGGGTTGGTTGGTAACCTACCGCTCGTTGTATTTTGCCTTGCATTCGCCCTCAAATCCATAAACCCTGTTCATGTCGTCTGTCTCGTGGTTGCCGCGGTTGATGAAGAAGTTCTTGGGTCGCAATCCACTTGTTGGCGTAGAGCAACAGCGCAATCTCGGTCGACCAAGAACCCCGGTCCACGAAGTCGCCGTTGAACAAGTACCAATGTTTGTCACCCGGGGTACCGTTTAACCTGAACAGCTCCATCAAGTCAAAATATTGCCCTGCCAACAGTCAGCGTCTTGTACAGCTCCCAGGAAGCCTTGATAGATTAGGTTAGACCCACCATGAGTGTCACCGCAAACGGTAAGCTGGACGTCCTCGGGGATATCGACCTCGACCATGGTGGGCTCGTCGTACACAAGTTTTTTGACCGCCAGGATAATCTGGTAGACGTATTTCTTGTGTATTAACTTCCCGTTCTTAAACCTCTCGGTCATGTCGTCGATGAACTCCTGCGTCATCTCCCCTTCCAATCTGGCGCCGTCATAAGCGGGCTCGACGGCGATCGAGTCCACATCGAGACCCTCGGCAGCCGACGGCTCGTCCCCGACCTCGATGGCGGCGAAGAAAGCGAGCTGTCGCACAATCTTCTCGCATTCGACCAGCTTAAGCTTGGCATCCTTGTTGCCGGGGTCGATCTTAACGCAAGTCTTGAAATCCTTCACAGCCTCTTTGGGTCTCAAGATGGCGGCGTATGCTGTCGCTCTCCGGTAGTAGGCCTGGATCCCGGGAGAACCGTCAGCCTCGGTGCAATGGTGTGGGGCGAAAGAGGGTCATTGCGCACCTTGACGAAGCTCGGCTTGAGTTCGATAGCTTTCGTGGCATCTCTGACAGCAAAGCCGTACGCTTCCGTCTTCAAGTAGGCCTATGCAAAAGGACATGGTCAGTCACGCGACCAAGGGGGTGCCGGGCAAGGCTGATGGCGGGGTTGCGCGGACCTGAGCTCTGTTGGACCAGAAGGTGGGCTCCTTGCTGTTTAGTTCAATGGCCTGCGTGTATAAGTCGATCGCGGTCGGCCAGTCGTGCGCCGCAAAGGCCTTATTGCCCTGGTTCTTGAGGTCCGTAGCCTTCTCCTCTGGGGTCGCCATCGTCTCGGATAATAAAGTGTTACTTCGAGAGGGGAAACATGTGCTGTACTCAATAAAGCATAGAAAATTAGTCGCAGTTCCGAGGCTGCCTATTTACCTAGACAACGTAGAACGCAAATCGCACAAAATCGGGGCCGCAGCGGGTCGAGTGATGGCAAGAGCACTGAAACCCAAAGGCAAGATGCGACCAAAGTTCGGTCCGGTTCTGCGGGTTGCCTTGGGCGTGCGCTAATCAGAGGTCCAGACTCGGGCCCGGCCTTGGCATCCCAAACCACATGGTTCTGACCCTGATAAAGGCATGCCACCCAATGAATGCTTGTAAGCGTTAGCTAGGCAGTTAATGTGGCAGGGTTCCTTCGCCGGGGTCAAGTCGTTTTCCCAACCTATTCCTCAAAACCACGACTCGACCGACATGAAGGGATTCGGTATTTACTGCCCAACCGTACGATGAGCCACTCCATGTGTAGGTAATTAGCAGACCCGAAACAGATTCTAAGACTCGCTGGTATGGCATTGTTGAGGGATAGTTTTCGAGGCCCACGTTGATGGGAGGAACCACGCATTAAGTGCATTTGTGAGGCAATGGTGGATGGCTTAAGGATCACATACAGTCGAACTCGGCGCCGTCAAAAAGAGAGCCCTCCCTTCACCGGGCTCATTTCGAAATCAACGCCGCGCTCCAAAAATGTTTATCGTGACACCAGCCCGTTCGACTTCGCCCTCGCTGTCGTCATCGCTGTCGTCCATGAACCCTTCCTCGAGGCTGTTGGGCAATTAGTGTGCGGGTACTTTGACTGGAGCTGACTGTGGAGACTGACTCTCTGCTTAGCCTTCTCGTACTGTCGACAGGGTCCCCCCTTTGCTGGTCTAACACTCTCCTTGCAGTGGTCTCGTCCACGTCGCCTAGCTCTTCCCCCTCTTCAGAATCGAAAGAATTTCGCTCAGCCACCACGATGCCGTCCGAGGCTCCGGCTCTCCACGCTGACGGTGCCATAAAGCGAAGTATAGCGCTCTGGAGTCTCGCCCTGAGAGATAGTGTCTGGTTCGATATTGTTTCGAGCGGTAGGTATTGGCTATACCGGTTTCGGTAGCGTTGCCAAAGGGGGACGAGGACGAAGGTTGCGGCAAGGAAGAGCACGAGAGAGATGACCGCGGGAACAATTAGGGTCTAAGGACAACGGAGGTTAGCGCACGACACCAACGGGAGATTATGCGATATGTTTTTTTGTAACGGCTCGCGCTTACCTTGATGACAGCAAACGTCGAGCCCATCGCGTCTGAACGGCCAGGTGTCCTCGGGCACTGCGAGGGAGATGAAGTAAAATACGAAACCAGGTCAGACCCCTTAGCCAGATGCTAAGATGATCTTGACGTCGCCGCAACAACTGCTAAACATCCGCACCAATGGGGCCAACAGAGTGTTCCAAAAGCAAACGCCAAAGCACTCGTGTTGGTTGGTAGCCGGGCTGAGACGGCTTCTCGAATGCGATGCTTGCAGGCTGGCAACGCGGCTCATGCAATTGCCGGGACGGACGCCTCTTGGCATTGAATTTCATGTGGACCCTCTTGGCATCCCGCAATTATGGTGGACCCGCCAGCGGCCCCGGCCCGGTCGTTTGATATCGATCTTGCATTCCCTTGTTCTCAACTTGTGATGTGAGTGTATATTGGGATGACTGGACGACAACTCATTCATTGCATTCTTGAAAGTCTTTCAGTAGTTGCAGCTATCCCGGGACGTAAAGGTTTCGGCAAAGAAGCAAAAAGGGGTTGGAAAGAATGAGAGAGGGTTCTAGAAATTCTCCGATCCTCACTAAACAATCAAACAGAGACATCTTTAAACACTTGCATGCCAATTTGAGATCGACCCAATCAATTCAACCGTGGATATTCCCAGGGTGAGTAATTTTTTACCATGTCTCTAGGGTGGCATTTGAGTACGAAGTGGTCATGGATGTGTTGTTGAGTATCAATAAGTGTTTTTATACGACCACACTCGTCGTTCTCCGTGAAACAAAACGGACTAAATAGTGGCGGGAGAGGCGGGTTCTTGATTGAGTGTTTCAAGCATCCTGCCCTGTGGCTCAGGCCACCCTGCAGCTGCGGGGTTGAAGCGTGCGACACCAGGATCAAAGGCGGGCGACGCACAGGCCATATGCCGCGGCACGGTCCCCTGATGCATTCGCCTTCTCTGAGAAAGCCCAGGGGCAGATCCAAGCTAGGCCTGTTTCAGAACGCGGACCCCCTTTGTGACCTCCATGTTGTGTGTGTGTGTGCGTCCGTCCCGGTGGTTACCGATCCTGCGATTCAATAATTGTGGCCGCTGCTCACAGGGACATTCCCGGTGTCGCACTCATTACACCACCTAAACTTGCGCAGGCGATCCAGCAACTTGCAAAACCATCCCCGGAGGCGCTTCCAGGTTGCGGGGGCTTAGCACGCACCATTCCTTCCAGGTTCTGACGTCGATACCACATTCATTTGTGCCTCTCTGTCGTTCCTGCGCTCCTTGCAACGCCGCGGAAGCCAAGCCCGCGCCATTGTGACAGAACAGCCGTTGGCCATTTTCGTTTGACCCCCGACCCGACAACGCGATCGAAGACGGCGCCTTTTACCTACCTCGTCGATTTCAACTTCAACCGACCACCGGATTCACGGACGATCCCACGGTTACAGGAACCGGAAAATCGCAGTCCGTATGTCAGGGTTTCCGCCGACCTCCCGCTGTCTCGCAGTACCCCACGGCGTCTGTTATCAAACCCCGTACTCATGCTAAATATTCTCGATTCATGCACAGAAGCACAACCCCCCACCAGCGCTGCGACGACACGCTTCCTGACCCCGGCCACTTCTCAAGAAGATGATGCGATGCGCCATAGGCCTGAGACACAGAGTCCATTGACGACAAATACCACGCCCCCCGACTCGCTCGGCCCACGTCGCCCACGCATTGATTGACGCCCCTCTGTACGGCTGTTGTTGAGAAACCAAACATAGGCGGCTCGCTGCCCGCCCCTCCCGAACCGGCTGTTCTACGCGTTGCCCCCAAATCCCGACGCCATGTCTTCCTACGACAAGTCCCGAGCCTCCTCCGGGAAGGCTTCGTCATTCTTCCACCGATCCAGGAACAAGGCCGAGAAACGGACCACGCCCGACGAAGGCCGCCATCTCTCCGCCGACACCGACACGGGTTCTGTGAATTCGCGCCATTCGCGCCACCAACGAGACTCTTCTGTTATATCATTAGACCGTGCGTGGTTCTTCCGGGTCCGGTATTAACATGACGGCCCGGCATCATGACGACGATCCCTTACGATGCCGTTACCGCGGACCGGAACTCGCCAGTCCCTGTCGACTACCTTCACAAATCCGACCAGATGCCACCCCGACGAGAACCGTTACCACACCAGTTAAACAAGGCGACCAGCGATTTCCACCAGTATCCTACTTTCGACCCATCGGCCGTGCGCCCCACGAGCCCCTACCCCTCGAGCCCCTACCCCTCCGGGCCACGCCCCGCGCCCGGCACATCCAACATCACAATGGCTTCGACCGGCCGCCAGGCTCAATACCAGCAATGGGGGCCAGCGAGAGAGAGCAACGTGTCCGGGTCCCATAATTCCCGGTACAACTCGTACACGTCCGGCGGTCGCAGTTCAGCCGACACCTCAAGCATCATGTCAGGTAATAGAACGTCTTACTACAACCAAAATTCAGACAGCCGCTCATCCAAAACAGCACTGCCTAGTATCTCGTCTCAATCTTCCTACTTGTCCCCCCATTCGCCCAGGGACAACCGCCTGACCAAGTTTCCCACTGGGACTCAGACAAGCGAGGGGTTTTACTTCCCGAAACCAGATGACGATAACGTCATCGAGCAGATGTTCGTGGCGCTCATGCAAAAGCGCGGATGGCACAACCTTCCGGACCAAGCCAAGCGCCAGATGATCGCCTACCCGCCAACCAAGAAATGGACTCTCATCTATCAGGACCGCCTCACCGAATGGCAGGGTGAACAGAAGCGCAGGCAGACCGCTAAGATTGGCCAGTACAGCAATGTCGACCTCACCCAGATGCCCGACGAGGAGGGCAGCCCGGAGTGGTATGTGCGCAAGGTCATGGAAAACTCGCTCGACAGCAAGGGTTTCGGCAGCTTGGAGGTCAACCTACGCACCCAGCAGATCGGCTGGGTCAGACGCTTCATCGAGTGCCAGGGCCAAGTGGCTTTGACCAATGTCCTCTTCAAAATCAACCGCAAAACCGCCATGGGACCGACCCTGGATTCCGCGACGGGCGACAAGAACCTGGACCGGGAGTACGATATCGCCAAGTGCCTAAAGGCTTTGATGAACAACAAATTCGGCGCCGACGATGCCCTCGCTCATCAACCGGTCCTCGTGGCCTTGGCCACCTCCCTTATCTCACCCCGGCTCACGACGAGGAAGCTTGTGAGCGAAGTGTTGACCTTCCTGTGCCACTGGTCCGAAAGCAAGGGACACTTAAAGGTCATCGAGGCCATGGACGTAGCCAAGAACCAACAGGGCGAGAACGGCCGCTTCGATGCTTGGATGCGTCTCGTCGAGGTCACCATCGATGGTCGGGGCAAGATGGGCAGTCTCGTGGGCGCAAGCGAGGAGGTGCGCAGCGGAGGTATCGGCATGGAGAACCTGCTGATGGAATACGTCGTGGCCACCCTCATATTGATCAACATGATGATCGATGCCGCTGAGAAGGACCTACAGATGCGCGTCCACATCAGGGCGCAGTTTACGGCTTGTGGCATCAAGCGCATGTTGAACAAGATGGAGGCTTTCCAGTATGAGCTGATCGACAAGCAAATCGAGCGGTTCCGGCTCAACGAGGCCATCGATTACGAGGACATGCTCGAGAAGGAGAACAGCAGCATCAAGGACAATGTGGAAGGAGAGGTTAGAGACCTCAACGACCCGGTCCAGATTGTAGATGCGATCCAGCAGCGGTTGCAAGGAACCAAAACTCAAGACTACTTCATCTCAGCTTTACAGCATCTCCTTCTGATCCGAGAAAATGACAGCGAGGAACGTCTCCGCATGTTCCAGCTCGTCGATTCGATGCTGAGCTACGTGGCCATGGACCGGCGTCTGCCGGACATGGACCTGAAGCAAAGTCTCAATTTCACGGTCCAGAGCCTACTCGACAAGCTGCACACGGACTCGGAAGCCCGCCAGGCCTTCGATGAGGCCACCGAAACGCGGCAGTTTGCCGAGGCGGCGATGGCAGAAAGAGACGAGCTGAGGGAAAAACTAGCAATGGGCGCTGATGGGCTGGTTGCTAAACTCCAGAAGCAGATTGATGAACAGGCGAGGTTCATTGACGCGCAGAGGAGACAAACGGAAGGGCTAAAGTCGGAGCTGGAGAACCTCCAAACCCTCAGGGCGAAGGAAGCACAACGCTATGAGCTCGAAACGCGAGAGCTGTATCTTATGCTCCGCGACGCTCAGGACGTTGCGGCTTCCAACGCTGCTAAGGGGGTCAAGGTGGGCGACGAGGACCCGGCTCGTATGCAAGGCATCCTGGACCGTGAGAGGCTCATGGAGCGCCTGCAAATGCAGCTCGAACGCCAAAAGACGGTCTACAAGCTGGAGGGCAAGGTCTGGGGCGAGACCGTCGGCCCCTCGGACAAGCTACGAGCACTCCGTGAGGAGATGGATGGCTACGGGGAACCAGGGGCTGGTGGCCCGCCCCGGGATTTCACCAACAGCATGCTTGGGAGCGTCAAAAGATCGACTCGCATTCCAAGAAAACCCGTCGGTTCTCGCGGGGAACCGATCGAGGGTGTTTTGGAAGAGATCGAGGACGTCGCCGAGGACGAGGAGGGTGTCGTTTACGAAAAGCCACGGGTGGTCGAGTTCAAGCGGCCTGTCATGGATCCAAAGAAGGCTGCCGGCATGTTCAGCGAGCTTCAGGGTAAGGTCAAGAGAATCGACGGCAGCGATTCAGAGGACGGGGATGGCGTTACAACTGGCCCATCCCACCCGAGCTTGGAATCCCAATCTCCTCTCACTCCCAGTGACAACGAGCCTCCGAAGATCGAGATCACCGATACCACCCCGACAGCACCCGGTCCGTCAACTTTCGGGGGCCCTCCACCGCCGCCGCCGCCGCCTCCCCCTCCCCCTGGTTTGTTGGCCGGTGCGCTCTTTCTATACCGGAAACAATCTCTATCCCAACAACCATTTGGGGCTGTGAGTTAATTCGTTTATAACAGATCAGCGTTCAGTATTGAGAGAACGTCGAGTCGCGCTCACCTCTCGGTGGGCCGCACACCACAATACAGCTTAGAAAAGAGAAAAGGACAGTCCTGATGCTCAGTCGGGAGGGGTATTCTCGACCAGAGCGAGAAACTTGTTGTGGGAGCAGAGGATGAGAGAGGATCTGCCCACGGACTTCAAAGAGAGGCGAACAAGAGGCAGAATAACATGACGAGACTGGATAACGTCCTGTCGGAATTCA